TACGATGCGATGAATGATGCTTTGGCATGAGTGAAGAAAGTGCAACCCACCGGTGTTTGTTCCTAATTAGAGGTGGTTTGCCATTATTCTGTAGCCCATGTAGTACATATGATGGAAAAGGATTCACTAGAATTATTTATGGGATCTTCACTTCCAGAAAGGAGAATGTACATCTCCGTTGGGCGTCCCAGAGGTGTGCCTTTTTGCATTAAGGTAGGCTACCTAAGAAGCACTTTAGAGGAAACGAATTTCGCGAGTCATCTGCTCTGCAAAGCAGATTTTCCACGATTTCGAAATCTCCCACTCACTGAGCAACACAAACTTGTTATTAAAAAAAGGAATTTTGAGGGCTCAAGTTGTATGGAGTGTCGTTAGTTTGTTCACTGAACTGGGTGAGGTTTCTTGGCAGGCAAGATCAAGTCACCAGTGCGTTGTTATGTAGCGATGCGGTGTTATGTATCAGTGACGTAGGTTATTGCAAGAATCGTACTAAATGAGCCTTAATACAAGCTTTTGATCACGAGAACTAATAGAAATATGTCCGAGACTTTGTAATGGAAGTTAGAAATCTAACAGTATATCGCGGCGATTGGCCGGGAGAAAGAAGATTATGGTGCTTTTTTGTGTGCATTAAATAGAGACAGCGAGGAGCGAGACTGGGGGATCATGAATTACAGCGCAGCGGAATCATATGTCTATTTTCTCCTCTTATGTCTGTATCCATTCTGTTCGTCCGGTATTTTTTTACTTATCAGGTGAATTTACCACAGTTGTGAATTGAGGTCTTTCGGTATAGAAAGTAACACGCTCCAATTCAATACACAATACCGATCGACTCTAATGTCCGTTTTCAGTTTTTACCTCGTCCGTTCATCTCAGGAGGATACAACATCACTGCATCAGAAGAAAGTAAAATTAATCCATGCATTCGACTTATATGTGCGCCATCATCCGACAAAGTACCATCCCATGAGGTTTATGTAGTTAGGTTATATGGTTACCATGAGCTCGGTTACTGCTTCTAGCTGTTCGACTCAACCAATGGCTCTGTTGGTATCTGGCGGAAAATTTCGCAGCTCCTCTAATCTCCACAGTTAAAAATACTCTCAATGAATTTTTATTCGGTCCTTACTAAAACTAATAGCCAGAATGTAACATCCACCGGCCTTGGTCTGCTTGCGCGGTTTTTCTCTCCAGTAGTCGTCTGCTATGACAACGTTGATCGACCGTCTGTTAATAAACCACCGGAAGAGCTACCCCGGCGTTAGTGAATTTTAGTGTCCATTTCGTCAAGAAAGACGTGTAATCAGACGGCAAGACAGACCCCCCTTATTTTCTCAGGGTACCGCAAGTGGTGTGCACTTTGCCTAACCCAACAAATAGGGCAAATGTGTTTGGCATTCATGCGGTTTTTCCGCTGTTGTTTTCTTCTGAAAAACTTGTGCATGAGTTCGGCACTCGGATACAATGAGTATCACACTTAAACGATAGAGTGACTAGACAAATCATTCAGTGTTATGCCAGAGTGCATTGTGTCTGCTCAGTTTATCTGCTATACGTACGTCTATGTTCACGATCACAATTTCTAGTTGCAACAGTCAACCGTGCCCCGTAATGTCAGGAAACAACACACTCATCAGCTTTGTCCACTTAGATAAACAGGCCTTGTTGCAGTCTTCTCTCACCCACTGATGAAGCGTTTGATGCATGTGATGACAAGAACTTTGGGATATCGGATAGTGGGAGGAAGGCTGTACGCCAAGGAGTGTACAGGAAGTCATTTTTTGAAGGATTAAGGGCGCTGGATGGAGGACACAAGGGTACAACGGGAGGCTGTATCACCGGGTTATGCTATACCTCTAGGATTGATCAGGAATCTGTGTAAACAAACCACCAATTTCCCAGTGTTCTTCGGCAATCATTTGGCGTAATTCCAGCAGTCCTGTAGATCTTATTTCCAACATGGAAATCAGTTTTTTCGCCTTGTGAATAAATCACTCACTTGCACAGTCACCTCGTGTGAACATGAACGATACTTTATTGAAACTCTTCTTTTGATTTCATTTGCATTCCGTAGAAATAAGTTTTGAAGGATTATTGACAGCTGGTCTAAATCTCACGTTCGCACCAAATAGGAAAAAATTGTTGTCTTGTGCTGTATCGCGACAGCTACTTCTGATTCTTCTCAGTGATAATCACTATCTTGCCAGACACTATGCCTTTGTGATCTCAGAGCTAATTTTCGTTCAGTTGTTTCAATTAGATCTCGCGTGGATGCCATTGAAAACTGGTTTGACCAACATGCTAGGTTCAAACGTTAATAGGTTTTCGGCAAATTAGTGCATCACAGCTGAGCAAATACAAGGCTACTAAAGACGAACAGCACTCAACACGATCTAGATAGCACTATCACCAAATCTGAGTGTTTAGTGTTGAAAAGACACAAGTACAGCTGGCCGGTTCGTAAACAACTGAATAAGAATTTGGAATTAGTCTCCATTTATCCTCCCTTAAAAAAGAAAAATCTCTGTCAGAGAGACGTTCTGGCTTCCCGATCACCAACTTATACCTGAACGCCTAAGTACTGCAGGTGAAGAGACACAGGAGTGTGCCCTGAAGGGTGTCTGAGAACGCGCGTAGCAGTTAAACAAGTATGCAGTAGAATGAGCTGTAGGATAAACCACCTGTTGTCGCAACCAACGCTTTCCACTCAGTGTGAATTAATAAACTATTTACCGGTAGAATGTGGTTGAAGTGGGTCTGAGCTCGTTTCGGATAAGGAGAAAACTCGTTACCCTTCGGGGACGGGGAGATGGAGGAAGCGTATCCAATGAATTCAGTGACCGCTCAGTTTTATCATCAACAAACAAACAACCTAGTCATCAGTTCGATTAATCAGATATCACGAGGCAGAATCAGACAAGAGAGCGGTTGCTTTTCGAGTACACATTTGGCTAAGTATCCACAAATTATGGCCATCATAAATGTCAATATCCTTGGTATCCATTGTGAACTTTATAATCTCTAGGTTTTATTACTCAAATGAAACATGTTTGAACATGTTTGTAACGTTTAGGAATTTTTACCGCACAATATCAAGGATAGGCGGAATGGAGTTTGAGAGAAACTGTCATCGGCACGTTGTAATGAGGTAAGCCAAACAGCTTTGCACGGAACTGAAGAAGGGAACCAGCCGATGTTCAGCTAAGTCCACCGTTTTGTAAACCAATGTACAGATTCACTTAGGTACTGTTCTGCGTTTCACTAAAACGCGGCAACTCAGGGACTTGGCCTACCATAAGAACCTGAAAAACAGCAAAGCTGGTAGTAAGCTGTCGGAAATTTTTCGGTGGTGTCCCTACTGAAACTCATGACACGAGGCCGGTCTAGGTATTATAAACAAGAATTTTCCCTTGATTCCGAAGGGTTGGCAGAATTCAGTGACTCGTATCCCATAAGTATGGGAAAATAGCCCATGTCTATTAATTAATCAAAGGATGCATTGCATATCTGAATTTTTCCCAAAGTTGGGCAAAACGAAACGCGCCAGATAGTTGGGTTGAAAAAATCGCACATTCGTTTTCAAGCAAGTGCATCTATGTCAAATTGGAAATAAAAGTTATCGAGAAGATTATAAAGAACCGGGCACTGCGAATCACATAGGATGTTTGATTCAACCTGAAGATTTTATGAGATTAGGATAAAACGGCTAATTTATGGGAAGGAAATAAATTGGAATAGAGCCCACTAGCTGATAGGCCAAAGGATTCTTCTCTTATGATTAAAATGACTCGATAATGGCTTCAAAATTCGTGCGTAAATTCCATGACAGATACAATAAAACCTCAGTTTTAGTAGGGTTACTAGTACGGGACACTACACTGAAAGCTTAATAGTGCGTTTGACGGAATGTGGCTGATTTAGTGATGCCAATAGACAAAAAACTGTGTAAAACAACTTCGCCGTATCACGTTCCTTGTTTCTTCACATTTAGATGATGTAACCTCCAGATCTTTTAATTACGGGTACTTCCTTACTGAGAGAATCAACAACGGTCGGAGGTCTTACAGGATACTGGATCCAGAAAAAGCGAAAAAGGGACTTTACGGGACAAACACTGGAAAAAATATCAGTCCAAGCAAAAAAAAAGAAAATGGCGGCCGTCCGTTTCAAAGGGAGCGCTTGCTAAGGAAAATATATGAGTTTAAATATTAATATAATCAAACTTAATAATAAAGGAGTGTATGCAGCGTGTTCCTGTTCTACCATGGAATATACAGTAGGACAGGCAATATCTCTCCTAACCAAAGACTCTCCACATTGATCCCGCCTATCGTCACTATTGGACTCGGGGAAATACAGTTAGATTATATCGATGTCATTTCCAACCCCGGACTTCTGCCCAACTCTTTATCAGCCAATAATGCCAAATAATTTAAAAGAATAAATGAACAACAAACAAATAAATAAACAACTGAAGACAACTGATACACTAATAAAAAGGCCTATTAAACAGAGTCTCGTGTGACTTACCCACGGAAAGGAACTGAACAACGACAGTAAAACGGTTGAACGGCGGATGGAAACAGAATACCAGAGCGCAGCTTTATTGTGTGCACCCGATGAAACACCATAGATTCACACTGTCAACAGTAAATGGCCTGTCAGATTCATCGCCGATTAAGCCAATCAGACAAAAGAGCAACTGTGGGTTCTGACGATTGGACTATTTGCGGTTTACGTCTGGTTGTTTGGCAAACGAAGCAACTCCCATGATGTAGCCGCATTTGTTTAAATCGATTGCCCTACGCAATCGGTTGTGCTACCGCACACAATACGAGCGTGAATCATCAGTATTGTCTGCGTAATTAGCTCGCACGTTGAATATTAGTCTTAAGAAAGAAACGGCGTACTACTACCTAAAGTTACATTCGAATAAGTGAACCGTTAGGCTGCTGTATCATCGGGTGTAAAAGAAAATAAACACATGTATGCCATAGCTTCACCAGGAGGGTGCTACACAAACAGCTGGAATGTTACAACAAACATCCGGTGTGGAAACAACCTTTCATTTGACCCATACTGTCCCATTCAGCGGATAATGAATATCAGTAACGATTACGGAAACTCCCGCATAAGATTAAAGCACGCGACCACCACATCCTGTATTTCAGTCAGTTGCTAGCACCCAGATGGAAATTAATCTGTGGATACACTTAGTGGAATACTGCACAAGCAAGCCATCGAAAACCCTTGAAGCGATACTTGAACTTATCAGATTTCAACACAATCCAGTATAAATGAGCCCCGTATGCACTTGTGCCCTAGGAGACAAAATCGTTCGTATGCCTGGATTTGCCATAAGGCCGAATTCATTTTGAACGGATTCCGGTGATTATATATACATATATATGTATACATATGCATATATATGATAAGACAACTTTCTCATGCTTCTTTATTTACGGTACAAAAAACTGAAGATGAACGAGGAGGAATCTTAAGATGCCTAGATTTAACGTTGGATGGTTTCGAGAGTAACGGAACTTGTGGGGCCTCACATAACCTACGGAACTCACAAATTAGCAGCTATGCTCCTTTGGATCCTCATCAGAACTGTATCAATAAATTTTCTGAAAAATACCAGTGGGTCCTGATATAAAACAAGACAAGTAAGGAGTAAGTGCACAAACAATCAGGGACTTTTCACACAAGACAGGTCAGCCCACTCCGTGTTTAGTATCGTACAATTTTGTGGTTGGTGAGAATGAACTAGAGCAAAGTATCGTGCAATAAAAAAACATTCCGTTCCCAGTAACTATCCAAGCATCAACCTAGGGCAGTTGGGGTGTCTTTGAAGATCATTTGGTGAAGTAAACAAAATGGAAAAATCGTTCAAGGTCAGGAGTCATCGACTCTTTAGGTCAGCCCAGAGTCATCGAGTTTGGAAAGCAGAATGTCTATAAGCTATACAGCTTTATATCCCATTTTCGGATGAAGATCCGATTTTTTACGCAACGCATAATCTGTGCTGTATTATGCGAGTAGATTCAGCCCCGTCGGGGTTTGGTGTCGCCATTGTAATTATTGTCTAAAAAAGCAGTGAAGCACCAATCCCGCCAAACTAATTTTCATATTTCCCCACATGTGACCGCGCTAAATTGTTTAGTTACGAAATGTGGTAGAATTTCGGGATACGCTACTGCCCCAAACAGCCCCAGTAGGGTAAAGACCATGAATTCATCCAATGAGACCTCAAAAACCATCAAGTAACAAACCGAAGTCAATTAAACACTATCCGGGGTGTGTGGGATGTAACATTAACATGTCACGTGCAGCCCCTAGTTTGTACCAAATGATATCGTCCACGATCTATTTTCCAGCAGCGTAAATACCCGTTCAAAACAGACCATCTATCTGGTTTAGCTTCTCACAAATCAAACTTAAGCTTTACCGTGCACGCCAGGATGACATAATGTTCCTCTACATCATCATTTCAAGAATCGGACTCATTGAAAGCCAGAGTACATTGTCCACCCTCCTACCACCACGTGCTCTGCTTGTACCATACATGGAGGCTTATACAATGACTCGGAAATAGTGTTAGTTGGCGACCTTCCGATCACTGAATCTAACCTCGGCTTAAGTCGGTATTCATCCCTGCTTAAAAGGGGTAGTGATGAGCCGTGCGCCTTCAGCTCATGGTGGTTTCATTGGAAGTTCATACTATTGGAGACTATTTTTCATCATCACTAAAGCAAATTGACTTACGGACAAAGACTGCACGTAGGACCGGGTGCATCATGAGAACAACCCACGTCCGAACTTTAAGGTCGACTGGAAGTTTTATTAGCGTTTCGTCTCAGGTATTATTCACAGGTGTCATTGACAAAGAGCTAACACTTAACTTCTATCGGACCAACCCCTCACCAGTTGGATGTCTTAAGGTGTTTTTCTCTGTTGTCACTATGCTTAAGACAACAATGCTTTAAATACACACAGAAGTTCACAAGCTTCTCCGTAACAAGTTGAGTTAATTCTGAATTCCAGTAGTCATCTGATCATTGTCTGTGTTCGTCGCTGAGCATCCGGATTGCCGCACTAAGCACCCACCAACTACAAAGAGATCGTTTACTGATAGAATAATATGTAATCAACATGTCGGATCAACCTCTTTCACCACCACTTGTGTTTGCAATATGAAGAGTAAAAACGAACGCACCTTTATCACATACTGGAATTGACAAGATCAATAACGATTTTGCTGCCCAGAATTTCCAATTGTGATAGACAGTTTTTGCAACCAGGTTATGACCGCTACGATAAAACCTATTTCTAGCATGCGACCCGATTAAGACTGGAACACATTGGATCCGTTTTATGCAGCAGGTGCACGTGAGCGCACAGAAGCATACCACGTCTTGCGTTAATGGAAGAAAAACGGCTGCCGGAACGTTGCTACTAGTGCTCACACCTAGAGTGACCCAACTATAGTTGGTCAGCTTGAGGATATGCAGTGAGCCAAGGCCCATAGTGTAAAAATCCAGGCGCTGTTGCCGCAACTAGCGCATTGCGGGGACGAATTCCTGTGTAGGCACGTGTTTCAAAGTGTGCACCATAAAATTGCAAGGATACACGGGAGATTCTGCTTGGCCAAAATGATTAACATCGTCGCTCAGCGTTGACAATAATAACATCAGGGCTGAGAAGGGAAACCAATAGGAATAAATCGCTGATAGGACAGTCAGTGATCAGTGCTGGGAACCATGCACAACAGATGACAAGTGGTGTCCCGAATCAAAACACCCACGTGGGTCTTCCGAAACGGAGCAGAGGTATAGCTGGTTGAGGGAAAGACACTGTGTCCAAAGATTCCCTTTTGTTGAGTGGATATCAACGGCGAAACCCGCACAGCATGTTCCCGGCTGTTTGAGCAGTTTTCGCTTGGAAGCGTTATCACTCTCTGTGGAGTATAAAACTCAAAGTTTGATGGTGCTAACAGAATATCCAAAGGAATAACTGCCAATTTTATTATGGAATTCAAACATTAGTTTGACCGGTTAGCTTTGAATAGGATAAAGGGCGACCGACGAGTCTGCACTACCATTAAGTGGAAATACTCCAATGCATCGAATGACGGTCGTATCCAATCCCGAAGCAATCCCTGCGTTACACGTCCGGTGGGCAATGTCGCAATTAACGGATCCATTCAAGCTTCACGCTGGCACCGTTCCGCATTGAACGAGAAGCCGATTTAGCGTCGGTACAACTTGTTGTCTAAGTAATCATTATCATTAAGATTGTTGAAAGGGCGTCAGCACGGCTGTAATTTGGAAACCGCGCTAACCTAACGAATCCCAACTAAGGCTACTTTTCATTAGCATTCTAGCTTAAGCTGTCGTTTTCTCCTGTTGGATTGATACGAGTTCCATGACAGCCCGGTCAATCTGAGAGTTCGCGGTCGAAAATCGCTGAAGAAAAGTGACTGATTCAAGTCTCATTCGGACCACACGTTCACATCACATCTTTATGTAAATGAGTAACTGATTAAAAAATGCCATGAAGATGGACAGCAGATAGATGACCATGTGTAACAACGGAAGGGTTATGGGCTTCCGATAAGAGTCGGTAAAAGATCACTGCATCAAATAATATTCCAAACCGGACGATGTGTGGAGGTTCAAATATGAGGATCACAGGATCCCCAGTGCACCTAGATGAGACGGAAGATAACCAACGCAGTTGTTTGACGTTGAATTTTATACTTCACACGGTGGATAAATCGATATTACCCTTGGTTTCTTCATCTGACTGGGAACGTAAACCTTTCAAGAAAATGTGTCTGACAGCGGACTAATTTCATATCGTCATGAGAGATATTTCAGCCGAACTGTTAACCATAGAGTGGAACACAGTCCCAGCTGACAGCTGATAATACATTGGAAGCTTAAGGGTACAGCCACCCAATGTTAATGGTAAGCAACAAATGAATTGATCATGCTTTGCCAACGAACGTTATCCGCGTATGTACGTTTGCTTGTTTTAACTAGGCATGATAATCAATCTGATACAAAGGTGACTGCACTAAGCCTGAAAGGTAACGTCGAAACAAACGTTGTTTGCTACGTGTTTTTTTAATGCACCCTCCGGTAGACAAGCAGTCCAAGTCAAAAACTGATTAGAAGCAATCGCTTCTTGCATTCGCATATTAGGCCTCAGAGGATTCACACACACACACACACACACACTTTCACTGAGAAGTATCATCAGACTTCTGGCCAGAAAAACTAACATTTATCAATGGGAGCGCAGCCCATCCATTTTTCACCGATCAGGCAAGTAAATATTCCGTTGAATAATTGTGTGGATTCGCTGCACAAGAGGGAGGATTCACACACACACACACACACACACACACTTTCACTGAGAAGTATCATCAGACTTCTGGCCAGAAAAACTAACATTTATCAATGGGAGCGCAGCCCATCCATTTTTCACCGATCAGGCAAGTAAATATTCCGTTGAATAATTGTGTGGATTCGCTGCACACACGGTCTTACACAGTTCACGACACAAGTAAAACGGATGAATCATCAGACGCATAACACAGCTGTGGGCAAGTTTAACGAGAAGGACGAGAAAGGGAAGGCGCAATAATCGACCATGGAATAACGATTGGCAATTGTCCCGTAGGCAACCCGACACAAACCCAACCAGAGATGTGTGATGCCGTGTACCCTCCATATCCCGCGACACAGTTTGGTCAATTTGACGTTTTCTCTAACCGTAAAGTTCAATATAAAAGAAAAGGAAAAATGCGAATGCAAAATATTTCCTCCCTGCGCAAAAGCACAACATGTGCATGTTAAATGTTACCAACTTTCATCAACAGACCACGGGATACTTGAAATCGATATCCAGAAATAAGGAAAAAGATAATAATAATAATAATAATAATAATAGCAAAACGTTTGAGCACGGAAAAAGAAAAACAGGAAAAGACGAAAACCTGAAATAAACCTAGCATATATTTGACACATCAATCTAAGGTGATACTGAAGTTGTGGGAGTAATAAAACCGGAAGAAATACGTTTTACACAGAGCCCTGTATGTATCTGGGAATGAAATAGATACGGTTGCGTAACAAGCAAAAGGGGCATGGTGAAGAAAAGATAGAGCGCCGGTGTCTAGCAGGTAGGCATTGTTTGAATCACCGGGGAAAATAGCGTAAAGACAAAAAAGGATGATGGAACCAAAGCTAGTCGGAAAGGCCAACTAAATCGGAAAGGGCATTATCCGTGAGGATACAGCTGTGGGGACTGAAAAGCTGGTCTGAAATTGTGTTCGAGGATTCGGGGCGAGAAGCATCCCCCGTTGGGGTGGGTAGTAGTAGTAGATCGTTGAAGGAGAAATCCGTTTGAGGGGAATCGGCGTCGGGTATCAACTGTATCTTCAAATGTGGACCACCGTCGCAAGCATTATTCGGACCTTTGAGGGTTGCCATTGACTGACCGCATGGTGACAGAGAGCTTAAAGTAAGAGAAACAGTGAGCAAGACAGAGCGTAATGTGTCAGTGAGAGCCTTTAGTTTTACACAACTGATCTATCTGCCTACGCGTCATACTGAATCCATTCAGTTCATCGAATACACGAAAACTCACAAACTAAATCAATAACAGATTTAAAAAAATAGACCAACACGGAAAACGATAAAATGAAATGTAAGAATGAGCAACCAACGGAATAAAATGTAGCACCAACGTGGCTAAGTTGAGCGAGGTTTTCACCGTCTTTCGACCTAATCATTGAGTATCAATATTCCGAAACACGTTCACCTGGACCTGACTAGGTAGGTGTGAGCTTCCACCCGGGACATCCTCGGTTTTCACTGAACAACGACATGAAGATAAATCTTCATCCGACTGAGTCTTGGCGGACGATGAAATTAAATAATCAATTCCGAGTTGATTTGAGGCACAATTTGTTCCTAATGTTTCGCTCAGCTGATCGCTACCCAAGGGACTGATGTTTTCACGACTACGTAGAGGATTAGATGACCCCGACATAGCGGTATACCTCCCAGAAGACTTTTCGTCCTGTGCGAGCGGGAACCCACATGTACTTGAATGAAAACAAAGGTGACGACAAAGGTTTTTGGATCTCAAAGATGGAGCTATGGGAAGCATTCTTTGTTCCGATTGGTCGATGAGTACACATTGCTCAGAGTGTAGGCATCCATGTACGCATCGGACGCACGGGGTAGGATTTGTCTGGAGAATGGTATCAATGCTGTGTTCCGGCGGTGAACACAACCAGTCCTTCGTAGACACGTTGTCATGGTTGTTCACCAGGTTGCAGCGGTCGAAGGTATTCGTGGATCTCAGAGCATGCGCTACCCTGACAATAACGGTTAAACAGACAGTGACATTTGTAGTAATATTCAAAAAATGTCCCATCAAGCTTAAGTGTCCCACCTTCGCATGGTACCACTAATGCATATCCCTCTGAGGACCCAATAAGACTGGCAAGCAGAAAGCAGTTCTAGCCTAGTTAAGAAGCAACTCGCTACGGAAGCCTCACTACATGAAAGGCAAGTTTCACGTTCAACCAGATAATCAGTAGGAATAGATTCCTCGGCTTGCAAAACATACAAAATGTGAATAATTTCATATAGAAGAGCATTTTCATAGCTACGGTTGTTCTGTTGGTAGAGTTGCTCGCCCGATTTGGCGACTTTGTAGCACACATTTCGTCACCAATCAAGGCGATGTCATCAACGCGTTGTTGTGATGCGCAGCAGGACTGTGCACAGCATCAAATGGAGACGAAACGTTTGCAACGAAGTTGCCATACTCAGCGGATAACTCCATCACCGATACCAATATCTACCTGTGTTTCACAAGATCCACGCCAGTCCGATTTGACTCCGTTAGGACCGAATCAGCAGGAGAGACTTGCTGCAAAGGTGCAGCTGCATTAGACATCCCGGTATCCACAACCGGTTGAAGCTGTTCAGAGTTCAATGACTTGGTTCGTTCAGGTGCTCGCGTAGAGTTTGTGCGTGAACGATTAAGCTCAGTTGGCTCGTTTTGAGGACTTTCAGTAAATTTTCGATTGTGTGTATCGTCTATCGCAGGAGGTTGCAACAAACTGAGTTGATTGCGTAGGTTGTCGATCACCCGATCAGCTTCGATAAGCCGACTGTTACGATTCTCCATGCGTTCACGTGTGAAATGAAGCTCTGCATAGCAGTTCTGAAATTCAAGAAAAGAAGGAAATCTAGATTCACCCAACTCACCAGCACTCATTGACATCAGAAACACAGTCTCGGTAACTGGCTAGAATGGTGGCGCATGCAAATAACTCAAACGCCAAATAACCAACAGATTGACGAAGGAGATTGCTGAACATTAGAATTTACGAAGTGGAAGGCTTCCGCATCAAGAGCCAGCCATGCTCCGGTTCGATCGACTAGACTGAAGGTGAGGGTCAGCAAGCCTATTTGCGAAAGGAATGCATCAACGGGTCATTCCAAGGAGTGTCATCTCCAGTGATGAGCTGAACACTCTCAAGAAGCGTTCAGCTGTAGCACCCTTCCGGTGCCTAGCTCCCTTGCCACCCGAAGGAAGCACGAGGGCTGGGATACTGCCAGGTTGCCCAAGCCTAGACAGGGGAAGTCGAGTGGCGGAAGTCGGATTCGAACCACGGAACTTCCGGTCAATAAATTCGCGCTCTAATCACTTGGGCCATCTCCCCATCTCTCAAGAACAATGCAGCTAGCTTTCCTTAACGCAAGCTCTAGGAGAGGGTGAGCCGGATTTCGCGCTAAACAAATTCAGACAGGTGCTAGACTGGTTGTACCATTCCTTTCATCAGTTGTGGTCTTTTGTTGTTGATCTGAAAGCTGTTTCCGACTCTAACCATTTCTTTTTAACTTTTCCATCGACATGCTTGTTAGTTACATCTCAGGGTTAGAAATGTCCGCTGAGCACTAGCCCACATATACTGAGCACAATCAGTCAAGAAATCAAGGCGCTGCAGATAAGTCAACTGATGCTGCCGTACGATCTGACATGTGATGCACAACTGCAACCTTACACAAGTCTGAGTGCACTGGTAGATGAGATTATTGCTTGAAACCGGAAGATTGATGCAGCTTTTCCCAACCCCCGATCATGTCCTGAACTCAATCGACACCTGACGCCTCCAAAGATGGAGAGCCTGAGACGTGACAAGCCAAAGGTTCATGACAATGACATACATGACGCAGCTCCAGAGTCAGTGGAGCCCCTGAATCATTGTGCTGCTGCTCTGCAATACACATCATCAACACACACGAACCGGGTAGACCACCGCGTTCAGTGTATGGCGGTCCGGTTCATGCATCCATTTTTGTTCGTGAAGAAAATGCACTTCAGATACAGCTGAATGGCTGAAATTACGGAGACTGAGATGAGCTATGGAGTTGATGAAGCAGACTCATATACAGGAATTTCATGTTCCATGAGCTAATTACTGCCTAGACCCCGATTCCGCAGCTCATGAAACAATTCCCTCACGAAAATCACCATTTTGTCATATATTAGCTGCAATAATTCCGTGTTGCTCCCTCGGGGAACGTGATGTGCCAGTTGGGCACAGGGTTGCTTTCCACGACCCGCTCAACTGATCACTTCACCGCAAAATCTATGTCCGATATTTATTCATAATAAAGAAGAAATGAACTAAGAATGATGCAGATATCAAGCACCTTTAAAATTGGGTGGAGCACTTATTGTTTCGAGGCACGGAATTGAACAAGTTGGCCAGTTCCAGGTTTGGTACGTCCTTCCGCATCAACACACAGAAAACAGGCCTGCATTCAGGACTATGAAGCATCATCATCATCATCGATAGCACGACATCAGTGTTTAACACCGATGCTTCACTGCCGTAAACTATGAAGTAGCATACAAGCAGAAAGGTATTTTCCATAGAAGTTCTTCACCAACCTACGGTCACGTCTGCCTTCAGACCTTTGCAAAATCTCCACCAGTTAATGGTGAATAGCATTTTGGTTTATTCTACCCATCGATCTCCACAGGAGACTTGACGGTTACCAAACCATGGACACGGCATCACCGTTGCTATAACAAACCGAGCTGTTCTCATAGGAATGGTTAAATCATTCAATTAGATGGAAATTCTATTACGACGTATGAAACAATGCAGTTTAAAGGATAAGTTTAAACAAACGATTTAGTTGGATCTATTAATGCAATATATAGCATTTCGCGCTGTTTTTATGTCGCCCAAAAAACGGATGGTATCTGCGAGTCGCATTTCATTGAATTCAAGCTTTCACTATACACACCTGATATGAAATACAAAAAAGGAAAAGGAAATAGGTTCCCCATTGAGGACAATTCAGGTGAATACAAACCAAACTACACAGTAATTTTTCTACAAAGCGCAGTCAGTAGCATCTCTTTCTGAGAACAACACAAGTTTTGAATACTGGTGTTTCATTTCAGAGTCTGACAACTGCACCAACGTACTTCAGCAAACAACAATGGCAGGTCCGTCCATCTGAATTCAGACGTTTAAATGGTACCCTAGCCGTATTAGCAGATGTCGACCTGATTAAGCGCATTATCAGAGCAAGACCACCGCTGTGGACACCTTTCTGAGGAAATAAGAAGCCGGGGGACCGACAAATAGCATAGAGGCACTGGCATGTATGTCCTAGGGGATTATTTGACAGCGCGGATATAGGACTCTACACGAAAGAATCAGTTGAAAAAGGTTGACAATGTTCATGATAATCACGAAAGAGACGTTCAACAACGGTAGCATCATCACTAGAGAGAATGTCCAAACACACTGAAAATGAAGCGAAGGACACGCAAATAAGCACCTGTATTTCTTTTCGTGCCTTCAGTTCGTTGTCCCGGCTAGTTGATAAAGCAGATTCCAAATTTCGAACTGCCTCCTTTTCGTGATTCAACTGGAACAAAAAAAATAAACCGACTATTGTTTGCAGCGAATTGAGTACCCCGGGAATTACCCAGTTCATAGGTTAGTTCAGTATGTACGAGGTAACGCCCATGGCACTTTAAATTCAGATTGCCTGAGTAAAATGCTGAAGATACGGGAGTGCCGAATAGCTTTGGAACTTTGCCGCCAGGTCCTTCTTCTATTTGCTCTTGTTTTCACAATAACGCTTCGTTACTGTAAATCACGGTTGCTGAATTCACCAGTCCGAGTATACACACCATGCACGACACAAGTCTGGTTGAACGACAGTGGTGTGCCAGTGCATTTCTGTGACAGCAGATGCGTTAGGCAACTCGATTAATTATCAATTCACCAGTTTCCAACGACCACGGCAACCGCATGAGAGGGCCAATAAACAGGTTGGTTGACGAGTGCTGATGGCGAGATTGCCATCCCGAGGTCAAAAGTGTGTGATGTTATGCAAAACAACACGCATCTCCGTCCATCTGTGGGTCCATGTGTTTTCCGACGATCTTTGCTAGATCGGTTTGACAGATTCGGCGAGGCGCGTCCGAGCCCGTCATCCCTCGTCAAGGCGTTTTCGAGCGAATACACCTCTAACCCAAGGGAGGTTTCATTCTATCAGTGAAGTCAATTTATGCTGAAAAGCGAAGAAGTACTGTACAGCTGGTCACGATTAGTTGATCAACAGTGTGACTGGCTCTTACTCAGACAGGACATAGCTACACTCATACTTCGATAACAGAGTCAACAACACGTGGTCACGTACCGATTGGCACCTCGAGTCATGAGTCGAAGTGATTCCTTCTCAGAGAGAGGTTTGGGTGTGTTTTTGTTCAAAAGATGATTAAACTTAGAAACTGTAAAAACGATACTGTGGTGAGGGTGTGGGTCCTTACAAGAACGGAATAAATCACAGCCTCGTGTAAGCAGAAACCCAGTGGCAAATATCGTCCCAATTATGAGGAAAAAATATCGTCTTCTTTTCAGAAGTTCATCATGTGCCGCTGTATTCCTCCCTTCGAGGAAAACCTGTTAGGTGACCCCAGAATGTTTCCTCGTGGAGGAGTGACTAATGAGAGTTATATAGCGTGCCTCTTACGCTGCTTCAATGTAATTTCATCCGTATTCGGGAGCTTTACGACAGATTTCGTGAGGCTGTGTTATAAGTTGCTATCTAATCTGAATTGAAATGTCATAGGTGTTTACTAGTCTTGGATTTGCGTGATTTACACATACTACCGTAACATGGTGAACTTAATTAGTGCTTGTCAATCCTCGTCATTTAAGTAATGAGCACCAATGGAGTTCTGATCACAAATTAGAGTCAGTAAAAGTGACAAGTTGCCATGACTACGAAGACAATGACGAGTGTCAAAAACTCCACGCGTATTGTGGCACTGTGCTTCGCCCTATCCTTCAGCCGTATTGCCTCAAATCGATATTTCGTCAGTGAACTGTTCCAGCGAACGGCGTTGGGTGCGTATCCAAAGGTAACTAGTCGACGGAGTCAAGTCGAGCCTCGTCAGAGTCCAATTCTTTGGTGGGTCATTGTGTCAGCTACTACTGTGACATAGAATCTTTGGAATGACAGTCAAATGAAAAAAATCCAACGACAGTATAGGGAAAATAAACCAGCCACCCGGGAAAGCAGAAAGTATTTCATCTTCCGTCGTGGGAGGTTAGGTCCCTCAGAGAGGATTAGACTGGAGAAGAAGTCCGGTGCCTCCAGACACGTCTTCTAGATGCACGTGTACGTCTATAAGGGTCAGCTAGTTAATGAACAGCTCGAACGAGTTTATTTGTGAATGTGATCCGTGCACTGCATGAAAAGCAGTGGACGATTGGGAGGAGGTATTCTCATCCTTGTTCCTGAATCGATAGGTGGTAAATCCTTTTAACGTCTCTCAACGTGAAGACACTCTAGCTCGTTTGGGCGGTAGTTCACGAAACTGACCGTCCGGTTAAAAGAAGGGATTGACGGAAAACTGCCAATCAACCAAAACGTCTGTGTGATCAGCACAGATAACGAAGCCCTAGATAAAGAACCTATATTTAAAATACCGAAAACTCTAACTTTTGGAAAATTTCTCACGCACAGGCACGAGTCATCATAACACTTTTGTACCGGTAAGCATGCCACGGGACGTGATCAAGGAAAAACGGTCCGTTTTTCCACAAAAGTGTTTGATGTTACGAGAGCTTTCAGGCGAAAGAAACTTGCTACCTTGGAGGCACAGGTGGTCTCCCAATAATGAGAGTAGACAACAATTTTCGAAAACCAGGTCGCATCCTTCAGAATTTTGGAGATTAAGACTGGTATTCTGTAAAAGCCTTTTGGATGTGGCGGTGGGCACAAAAGTGAGGCTGAAAAGTCGAAAATCAATAAAGCGATAGTGCTCGCCAAATTATTTCGCCTATCCTACCTACCAGACAACCAACGGTTGAAAACAGTCTGATTTGGTTTACTGGAGAATGCAGACGGTGCTGTTTTCACAACAGTATCCGACGAGAAAATTCTAGGCTAAAACTGTCGCAGACCGGCGAAGCAAAGAAAGGTAGTCTAATTATGTGCCTTGGAAAGGTGGTATCAAGTGGCTTCTGCGTCCTACGCTTCTATAGGAGCAAGCAAGCAAAATGCAGAAAATCAGAAAATTTCAATACCTGTTTTCGAAGGTTCGAGATTTCCCGTTCAGTTTCGGCTAAATGAGCCCGCAACTGATCGGTTTCTAAATTGCCGGTAGTCAACTGATTTTGGACCGTATGAGCCTGTCGTTCTAGACGGTCGCACAACGCTCGCACTTCGGTCAATTCCCGGTGAACTTCTTCGTTTTCCAACTGAAGCCGTTTCACCCTGTCCTCCGACTCCGAGGCGTTTCGGGTAAGCAGTGAACACTATTGAAGGACGTCCGAAGAATAACATCGAAAGGTATATAAGAAATGGCGCAAAGTAAAAGGAAATCATGGAATTCACCAAAGTCCAGTCTCAAACAACATATGTACAGACTATTAGGACAGGCGATGGAAACCAACTTGAAGACGCCCATGCGGAGTTCAGATCCGGGTAATCAAAATGATAGCCGATAATTTTGGCACTCGGCCACGCTTCAATCCTTGGGTAGAGATATGACTAACACATGTTTACCGCAAACGAACAGTCAGGAGGCAAAATGAGGCTATTCATTTCTTGTGTTACCGGTTCCATGTTCATCGAAGGCCCCAATTCCTATCCTAGCACCTTAGTACCAAGCTTTCTCCGTCCATAAAAGGTATTCGCACTATTTGTGAGCCCTGCGATAGGAGGCACTCACAGAAACGAGTTGCCCGAAGGAGCAAAACGACTTCAACTAGCTAACAAGTTAAATACAGGCCGTATTGATTTCTAATCTTATAGAATGAACTACACACGCAAACAAATAGTATAGGAACAGCAACGGTGGGGCGACACACCAGCAAGATCAGACAGGAGAAAACAAAGTCGTTCGGTTTCAGCATACGTTCAGTGAATGTTTGTGGTGCAACCTCTAAAAATCATAAATCCAGATATACTCAGCAGCTACTGGCAATTTAAGAAATGTACTTGGTCCATGGAACTTCGAAAAGAAAGCTCATTATTTTGTCTTGACACTGTCTGGAGCTTAGAGTGATATACGATATGAATTGTTACTTCATCATAATAGATCAACAAGGGTATTTGCGTGGCAGACGGACAAAGATACATAGATCACTAGAAGTGGCTAACTACCAACCTGGGATTCGAGCGCGCGTGTTGCCTTCTGATAATCTACCACATCCTTCCGTGTTGCTTCGTTCTGATGTCGCAGTGAGGAAAGTTCGTGTTCACGCACTGAACAAATGTGCTGCGCATCCTGAAGCCGGTTTTCCAACCGCGCTATCATGGCAGCTTTTTCATCGAGTTCAACAGTTAGGTCTCTGTGTTTTGGGGAAAATGGGCAAATTTAACGGATATACAAACTATTATCTCCAGAAAGTGAATCATCACCGAGGTATAGCCGGAAGTGAAACATGGAGAATCGGTAAAAGATGCATATTCATTTTGCTTAACGGCTTACGATACTTCAACCGCATATTGGGATTGACCCAAACTTCCCGCGGACATTGTTAAGAGGCCCATGTATGTTCAACTTGCAGTATGCCTGTCAAAGTGTGCATTAGGTTTCAGCGTCATCCCTCTAGCCGTCATTTCGGAATACCAACCATTGCTGGTTATTTCAAGTAGGATCGACCTCTCTTTGAAATCAGGAGTTAAATCTCTGGTACAGACCTAGCAAGCAGAACATCAAAAGCACGTAGTAAGCTTATCTAGCTCTTTTCTTATAATAATAACTAAGAAAGGAACACTGAGTGAATAAACTCATTCACATCTGGGGACGGACAAAAATCGATCAGTTCATGGCGCACACGCGCGCGTCGGGTGAACTTTATGCAAATGAGAAACGGTTGCGGCCACTGCGCATGTTAAACACTTCCAAATTTTAGGTGCTGCCAAGTGCTGGTTTCCACCAACAGGTATTTAGGTCAAGGAACACAAAGGAATTTTTTGCTGTATTTAGGCCAATCGGCCCTAGGAGGACGTTAAACAAAACAGTGATGAAGAATCAGTAGTATAGTAACGTGTGCATATGATGAGGGAAAGAACAAAAGTGTAGCATGGCGTTATTCAACGTACCTGTATTGGTTTAGTATACTAATTCTCTCCTGTTCCACACAGGAACATGTTTCCTTCAGTTTACACAACTCCAATGCAGAAGTGTCAAAACGTTTCTGAAGTTCCACTTCCTTTTCCGCGGCACAATGAAGTTTCATCGTCAAGTTTCTCACCTCACTGATCATTGCATCCAAATCACACTGAAAAATAAGTAACATCGAATGATGGCCTTATGAAAATGTTCCTGACAAATCTACTCGAGCATGGAGCGGACAGTGCAATGAGAGATATTCCGTGTGGATGATTTGAAAGAGCTGAGAACCGGGAGATCCGAGGAAGTTTTCGGATTTCAATGACAGGGTTACAGATGTTACTTAGCTACGCATCAAAAAAGCTTAAAAATAATAAATATGGAGAGATTCTGTAACCTTTCAATGTATTTGGAGTCCATTAATGTCATACAGGGTGAAAAACAATATGATGAGCGGGCTGAAGCTGAAAATATGGGTCTCAATAATACCAAGTCGTCTTGGTCAAACGGTACAACCGATGGCGCACTGAGAAATGAACACAGATGGATCTCGTGGTAGGCACAACAGAGATGAACTGGTTGTTTTGGGCACAGTGTGGAGTCATGAAACCGTTGGTATTGCTATCGCTGCTACTCTGATTCACTGTGAGGACTTACATGCTTCATGTACGGTCTTCGAAATCTAACTGACTACCACTCTTTAAATTTCTTTTTACGTACGTGAACATCTAGGAAATAGTGTGATTCCGGTGTCATAGACCCAGATATGAAAAGAAACGACTCTCAGGGAACTTTGACAGTTTGGAAACGATCGAATGAATGCCGAATTGTATGAATTGTGAACGAAATCATCCCCGCAGTGACAAATGGCCCAATTATATTAATTATCCAGGAGTTACACACATTTGCCTGGCGTTAATCCCGTACCTCCAGTTCAAGGGTTCATTAGCAGTGACCTTCTCACAGAAGCCCGAAGTAGACTTTTCTGACGTTTTAGGGTACAGAGCACCCTTCGGGCCGACTAGTTTGCTAACGAGTGCAAAACCAGAGGAAGGCAGTGGTGTCACCACCTGTCTGGAATCTTCTGACAGACAGCCGGTGGACGAGAACGAACACGACGTTTACTCGATTGTCGTTTAGGTGGGTCGGTAGGTTACACGAACCACTCAAATGCAAGCATATCTAATTGATATACCGGATGGATACGAGGTGTGTGAAACGTTGGAGCATCAAGGCCGAAACCAAAATGTCAAATAAGATCTACGCATTCGAGCCGGTGAGATTTGCTCGTGGTAACTACATGGGTATTCAAACACAAGTGACGTAGATAACAACGTATGGGACGGTTTCGACAATCATTGATAGCGACATAAGGTGCCATAACACCTTGTCGGTTCATAGTTGCCACGTTAGCCGAAGGATGCACGAGGATTGCCAAAGCCTACACAGAAGCCATCGAGATGCTGAGGTTGTGTTCGGATCACGGATCTTCCGTCTGCTCCTTAACTACTAAGCTATCTCGAGATTCAAAAGTATGTAGCTAAGAAGCAGAACGTTGTACATCACGAATGACACGTAAATAGTGTAAAGTTGAACAGGCACAGGACATGCAACCCAAGAAGCTATTAGGCGCATATGGACTAATGGGTTAACAAAATGAGAAAATTGAGAAGATTCTGGAAGAGAAAACTGATACCAAACAGTATGCAACAGGCTATGATGATATGATCTTGTCCATTAATCTTTGTTTGCTAAGACTGACTTCATGTGCATCACCGCCGTCCTAACTTCACTAGAGTCCTGAACTGCACGAACTAAATAATGCCTTTTCAGTGGTTATATACTTGAAATGTTTGAGCAGTAACCACACAAAGATCACATGGAGCAAATTCAGATTTTGGCAGTGATGTCTCTTGAAAGAGTTGGATTGTACACTTGACAGAGTCAAGTGCGGCAGCAAGTATCACATGCCACCGAATAAGAGTTAACGCGTATCCATATAGGAACAAAAAATGAGACCTTTCAGCGAGCACCAGAATGGCCTCACCAACTACTGACCTCGCTTCGTAAATAGCCTAGAATGAGAATCACATTGAACCGGAATCTGGTTTAGTAAATGAATGCTGAAACATTCAAACAAGAAAAATATACATACAGAAAACGAGAAGCAAACGGCTAACATGTCTTCATGACCCGGTTCGAATATTTTTCCAATTCAAAATTGCAGAGTCAGAGGACAGTTTCAGTACCTTCATATAATAAATAATAAGGTTTTGTCACGTGGGAGAATATAACTGGACTTATAAACAGATAAATCAACAATAAATGGTGAATGAGCAGCAACTTCATCTGGGGCTACCTTTGTTTGCTTCAACTCCTGTGCAACTCCGTCACGCGCTTCCTTCGTCTGATTCAACTCCACCTCTAGTAGGGCGGTACGTTCACCAAGCTGACGGCATTCGGCATCTCGCTCAGCTACCGATTCAGTCAGCCGAAGTACGCGCAACTCAGAAGTCTGACTTGATTTCTACAAGAAAAATATTGAGTGATAAGATAGATTGAGTAGACTTGCTCGGAAAATACTCTCACTAATCCTGCACATAGCCTCCGGTCACCGTACGGCGAATCTATGTCAAACTACAGCAGTTGGACTGAACGAACAGAGGTTTTCGTGCGATAAACATAATAAGTAATCCTTCTGCTGTAACATCCTTTTGGCGGCTAGTTGGCACACCACCTGAAGGAAGCACGAGGGCTGAGATGCTGCCAGGTCACCCAAGCCAAGACAGAAGCAACTGAGATGCAGAGGTTGGGTTTGAACCACTGACCTTCAGATCAGTAGGTTAGCACTTTAACCACAGAGCGATCTCGAGTCACCTCGTGTACGTTTGTGCAGAAGCACCGTGAAGTACTGCTTAGTTGTGCAGACATGTTCAGAGTCATGAATTCTATAGGTATGATCCGATCTCCTGTTAAAGAACACTTGGGTTGGCTGTTGATGCACTGAGCAACTAGCTGTGAACAACGTTTAACCAGTTGTGATGACGTTTCTGTCAGGTAGCAGAGTGAATTTTATTAGAGGGTGACCGCAAAAAGGATATAAAACAGTCTTATCAATACCAATATTAACTCAGAACAAAAGAGCAACCAACCTACATGGTGTTCATTCGCCTGGCGTGTTAGCCTCGCCAGTTCTCGTTCCAGAGTCTCACATTGCTCGGTTCGCATGTCTAATGTCGCTTGAATGGCATCTTTCTCTTGATCCAGCTGTCGAAGGATGCGGCGCAATTTGACTCCCTCATCACGCCATTTCTTAAAAAGCAAAGGAAACACGTCCAGCTTCACTAACGCACTCCGTTCTGTGCAACTAATTTAAATTTCTATGCGACATTCGGTTCACAACAACTTTTCATATTAAAGATGTAGCCAAATTTAAACACACATATGTTACCCTTACTGGTGGGATCACATTGAGAAAAATTCTCTCCTTGAAAGGTATGACCGTTGGTCGGTACATTCCGGGATTGCTCCAGAGAACAACTGTGGCTAGTCTATGAATACTCGGATGAATCATCCGTATCGATCAACTAACAACGTAAACGAAATCTAAAATAGGACAAAACATCTGTCATATGGGAGATAACAATGGAGCAACAATCTAGCAACACAGCATTCAACGAAGAAAAAAAAACGGAATACTAGAGAATTGATAAAATGAGTTATAAACACCACAATATGATATTTTGGAGCTCGTTCGGTCCTGTCGGCACAGGTGATGATGGGTGAAACGTCTCGACGGGGCATACGGCTTTATCCTTCCTTTTTGGGATGAATCGATGACTGCCAGAAGCAAATTTATTGGTCTACTTTGGTGTTTATGGGCTACAACAGACTTGTCTAACGTGTTTCTTCAGGTCAAACTTGAATCACGCACATTTCTCGCCATTGACCGGATTGGTCAGAGAGCTCGCACAAAATTTGTAGGGAAGTAAACCGAGAATTCGATCCAGTTGTGGGGCATAGGTTTGTTTTTCTGTCTGGCCATTAGTGGGGACATCTGCACGTCATCGATGTATTCTAGGATTCACAGCCGGTTAGCTAGTGACTCCAGTTGTACTAAAAAGATGCTTACAAACACGACGGAAACCAACAACATGAATTCGTCGACGTAACGTCGACGAAGATGAGTACTCAAGACAAATTTGTATTTGAGAAATGCCTTTGAAATTTCAGTTTATGTATCAAGGCAGAAAAAATAAATCCATGTCATATTTTGGACACAGGACGGCTTAGGTACGAACTAAAAGGCCAATCGATGAACAAGAGAACAAGGAAAACACAGCTCACCAGCACGAAAAATCAATCGAAAGAATGTAAACTTTGGAAATCGGTGGGGCACTGGTTTACAGTGGCGAAAAAGGAAAGTAAGTTGGTAATGACCAAATACTAGGTGTCAACTGATAACAAGCACAACGGTGATGTATTCGAATTCCATAGGTGCATTGAATGGCCAAGCTGAAAACCCTATGAGCTCCTAATCAATACTTCAAAGCATTGAAAACGTGAATAGAAGAACGAATTGAGTGAGTGAGTGAGTGAGTGAGTGAGTGAGTGAGTGAGTGAGTGAGTGAGTGAGTGAGTGAGTGAGTGAGTGAGTGAGTGAGTGAGTGAGTGAGTGAGTGAGTGAGTGAGTGAGTGAGTGAGTGAGTGAGTGAGTGAGTGAGTGAGTGAGTGAGTGAGTGAGTGAGTGAGTGAGTGAGTGAGTGAGTGAGTGAGTGAGTGAGTGAGTGAGTGAGTGAGTGAGTGAGTGGGTGAGTGAGTGAGTGAGTGAGTGAGTGGGTGAGTGAGTGAGTGAGTGAGTGAGTGGGTGAGTGAGTGAGTGAGTGAGTGAGTGGGTGAGTGAGTGAGTGAGTGAGTGAGTGGGTGAGTGAGTGAGTGAGTGAGTGAGTGGGTGAGTGAGTGAGTGAGTGAGTGAGTGGGTGAGTGAGTGAGTGAGTGAGTGAGTGGGTGAGTGAGTGAGTGAGTGAGTGAGTGGGTGAGTGAGTGAGTGAGTGAGTGAGTGGGTGAGTGAGTGAGTGAGTGAGTGAGTGGGTGAGTGAGTGAGTGAGTGAGTGAGTGGGTGAGTGAGTGAGTGAGTGAGTGAGTGGGTGAGTGAGTGAGTGAGTGAGTGAGTGGGTGAGTGAGTGAGTGAGTGAGTGAGTGGGTGAGTGAGTGAGTGAGTGAGTGAGTGGGTGAGTGAGTGAGTGAGTGAGTGAGTGGGTGAGTGAGTGAGTGAGTGAGTGAGTGGGTGAGTGAGTGAGTGAGTGAGTGAGTGGGTGAGTGAGTGAGTGAGTGAGTGAGTGGGTGAGTGAGTGAGTGAGTGAGTGAGTGGGTGAGTGAGTGAGTGAGTGAGTGAGCGAGCGAGCGAGTGAAATTCAGCTGATATAGAAGAAAATTGGTCACCGGTATGTCGAGGAAGACGTAAGGTTAAATCCCGACTTAAAAATCAACTGTTCTAGATGGATGAAAAAAAGCCCCAGGTATATTCAGAGGCTAGTGGTTAGAGAGAGTCAAAGGAAACATACTTCGCATTCCTGTTGCACCTGGTCCAGTCTAGTCTGCACAGTACAAAGATTCCGTTCGGCAGTGGCTAATCGGTCATCCTTAGAACGAGTATTCGCCAACCCGTCGAGACGATCCAGCTATGAAAAGGCGGAGCAGTAGCTATTTTTGTCAACAAATTAATCAGGACGGTGTACACATCAACATAAGGTGATCCTAAGCTTCCCAGCTACAACAACCTCCTTGTCCTAGCAAAACATCCACTTGTGTACCAAGTTGTGGGGTTACCCGCAGGCCTCCGATGCACGATTATACCTGATGGCATGAGAGTGGACTGAGAAGCTTTAGAACACCCAGTAGCTGAATATCTACGCAAACAGAGCTAGTTGAATGGCACCATCATGAAGCTTAAAAGATACACCTGGATAAGTGTCAAGACCAGTGGCCGGAACCTCGAATTCCACCTACCAGAGGTGTTTGCTGGCTGAAGGTTGTGAATAAATGTTCCAAACTAGATGGGTAATAAGCGTACTCCAGTACCACTAGTGAGATTCATGATATGATTTTTTGAACAGACCAGAAGTACGCGATACCCAGATAACCTAGTCTACATTCCAGTAAAATTCAACAAATAGGGGTCACTCAGATACAGGAATACCTTAGATTTTCCCAAGAGCTCATTAGAGCGGCATTAAACTCAGGGACACCTATCAGACCCGAACACAATACTTTCTGTTGCCCCATCACCTCGTTTTGCAACTCACTAAATAGCAAACCTGATGAGGGCTACTTATGTGCTTACGATTTTAAGTCGATGGCTCGACAGCTGACATTAAAACAAAGAGTAGGTTTTGTCAGAAAACAACATAGAGTAGATGCATCATCTACCGAAGTCCAAACTGTGATCGGTAGTTGTGGGGGCTCGCTTTGATTTGTGTTTTGACAGGTTCAGTAAACATTCGCATGAAAAGAGCCAGCATGGTGGCGGGTGAGTCATAAACCCACTTACTGACACGGCATTCACACCAGCACTTGTGTGGATGTATTGTGAGTAGCCACTAACAGTAACCACTCAGTTTTCGGTAAGCTGATTAGCAGAAGCAAGCCAAGTGAACATTTGACGAATCAAAATCGGCTGGATACTCTAGATGACTAGACTTGATAGTGAAATATAGGTTCGTACGATTAATCCAACGAATACACCCATGTTAGTCAGACACTTGACGAACAGGCCATTATGTGCGTTTGGCCGTTGTAAGCAGACAATATGATATCGACGACTGAACGAAAGGGTTTGAAGCAAAACAGCCCTTACCCGTTCGAGCGTCACAAAATTCAGGATAGCTTCATAATTCGGTGTAACAGAACCACAATATCACTAGCACATTTTTAAGTTTACGCGGAATGTCTGAGAATAAGAAGGGGCACATTCCGGGCATTTAATCAAGTGTCCGTGTCATGCACGGGACATTATTCGCTCGAAGACAGTCTTGTCATGCCGACTGATGTCCTAATTTGGAAGGTTTCACCGTTGGAAGAAAACGGTATCATACAGGCTCAGTTACCACCTCCAGGGTTCAGTTATTTTAACACAACTACACATGCTGATGGGTAATTATCAAATCGCAATTCCTTCCGGGATCAAATAAGCCGGCTGCACAAAAAATAACTAAACATGTTCTGGAGGGGTAAAGCAAGGTCTTGCATGCATGACCAATGTATTGAACCCTTCGTAATTTCACACACAGTGAAACAGCGAGGAAAAAAGTCTAGAAACTAACCAGTTCACGACGTTCCGTTTCGAGCAAGTTGATCCGGCAGCTCATATCTGCTAAGCTATGAGCATCAGATTCTCTTCTCTGTCTTAGACGGTCCAGCTCTTGTTCAGTATCCTCGACGCGTTGAAGCCATTTAGCTTTCTCATTCAGATTCTGAGTGGTGATGTCGTGCAAACGATCCTGAAGTGAGTCACGTTCTGTGGTCATTTGGCGCAACACTTCAGCTAGATGATCCCGATCTTTCTCCAAATGGCGCACAATAGATCGTGTGATATTTGAGGATCGAGGCTCACCAAAAGAAGGGGTGGTAGGTTGTGTGGAAAATTGGCGACAGTCATTCAAAGCCTCCAAACGTAAAAGTTGGTCCCGAGTCTGAGATAATTCACATTGAGTCTGAAGTTGATAAACATAACAGAGGGGTGTTTTCGCTGTCACATGATGCCAAACATATTCACGACATGGTTACTACCTAATATAAGGAACCGAGCGCCAAAAGTGATGTGTCTTTCAATGAGCTTAGTTTGACCTGCAGGATGCTTGGCGCATAGCAGTCAATATGTCTTATTTCTCTCTGATGGCGACTAGATTAGGGGCACGATGTTTTCGGGGTATGCTTGAGAAACTCAACCACGGTTTTAAGCACCATGTGAGGAAAACGGTTCGAGTAGACGGACTGCAAAAGGCAGTAAAAACAATGGTAGAATGATCTTAATTTTACATTAGATAACGGATATTTCTGTTGTATGTTGTCTCGCTAACAAATCTTTGATTATTTCAAAGTGTAGAATTTCACCCGATTCCAGCAGGCATGGTGATGTGTAGCGTATAGACAGATTCACTCTTACTACGATATGACAATTCGGCTCCATAAATGTCCTGAGTCACAGCTACTCGAGGTTGACAGCTGGCAAGACTGAGGCAGGTGACGACACAGAAATGCTTCAAGCGACGGAAATCGTTGACGAAACAGAAACCAGGACAGTCAAATCCGGGTTCGATCATATCGAGTCATGTTATCAACTGATTTCCACGACGATAATGCCTGGCATGGAATTAACATGAACACACCATGGCAAACATCGCCGTATAAGTGTGAGTAGTTGCAAAATGGCGAAAGGACATAGTCAAATGGCCTCGCTGGAAAACCTGTCGGTCCCCTTTGTTTTCAGGATAAAACCTAGACATCAAAGGTAAGAAACCTAAGATTTTCGGATAACCCCGTACCGCCAGATCTCGCATCCATGGAGAATAACAGGACGAACGAAAGCTAGAAGACCTCGACTTTTACTCTAATGCTAAGCTTAGCTCTACGGGGCAGGCATTGGTCAACTATAGAAACACTGTCCTCTCAGTGCAGATAGGAGTCTTTACTTCGCCTTTGGCCAGAGAAGGAGCGGTTTGGTAGGTGTACCATGTAGTGGGACAACTGATGCGACGTTCGACATCGTACGGTGACGAAAAGCTTGTAAATCAATTGCTAAGCTTGGCAAGCAGGCCAGCTGCCATACGTCAACAGTCAGTTAACTCATCCGAGCTACTAATACGTAAACATATTGCCACTTTTCATACGGTCGTAGTTCATTATGCACCATGATGATGCGAAGCAAAAGCGATCAAAATACCGACGAAACGTCTGAAGGTAACCTGTTCGAACTTAAAGGGGCACAACGCGGAGTGAAGATCCAACATATAATTCCACCATATCTTCCACGTCAGCTTCCAGAGAAGGACCAAATGCATTTTGGAGTGGAGTAAGTAGTAGCCAGGCACACGCTACAGGGGTTTTTGCGTAAGAAATTATCAAAAAATTAGAGTATTGGTCGTTTGGTGACTGATTCCCATGTATTCATCCGCAACGGGGCAATTGTAAGGTCTTCAATAAGTTGATCAGTGTTTATCCAGTTAAATTGGATTCAGAAACACATCCTCGTTCATAGTACATTTCATTTACGCCGCACACTTGAAAGTGGAGAACGAAGGAATGACCCAAGTGCGAGCCGTTTACCACAACAACCTATGGGTAACACACTTAATCAAAACTGTAAGTCCACTAGTGTCTACCCCATACCGATCTTATAGCATATACCTCATTAGGAGTAGCCTTTCTTAATAAAGTTTTCTAACTTTGTCATTTATGTGTCGGAACTTCAAAGCGATACGGCTGCACAGACAGCTTCAATCTGCAAAATAAGCTTCTACTACTTGTGAGTAGTTGCGAGACGTTTTCTACTGTAGCTCTCGATGGGTGTTTTGCGATGATCAAACAACCTGTGAGCAGAATCGGAAGCAGTATGTGCTCTAGAGGGTCATGCACGGGTAAGATGTCTGGGGATGTAAAAATCGGCCAGGTATGAAGACTTCAAGAACAAGTAACAAAGCGCGCAAGGAAATCAATACTTACGTACAGTGAATGAGCAACAACACGCTACCAAAGATAACAAATTAGAAAGGATATGCTGCCCGAAGCGTAAAAAACAAACGATGCGGGAATGACCTTCTCACCTGCTGTAACTGTTCACAAAGATTATTACGTTCTTGTGTAAGTACACGGATATTGCTTTGAATCTGAGAGAACGGGGGGAGTGGAACATCAACAAGAGGGCAAATCATCGGGTATTTGGGTCGTCTAATGAATAATACTGAAGACAACAACAATGACTCGTCGGTGTCGACCAGAGCAGTATGAACTTCAAGGAATGCTGAGAACTGGCGGTACGCATCCATATCCCCCCCATCCAACTACTCGAATTCAACCGTCTAGATGTCCCACATGAGCTGCAAATCACGGGCTATCACAGAGGATGTTGGCAGTTCTTTCCTGTCGGGCCTCCATTCTTTGCCCTTTAGTTGGCGCTGAGACACAGGGAAACGGAATTGCGTGACATGAAGCTTGGCGTGGGACATAGGTGGTCCAGCAGCTTAGTTAGTTATGCACTTGGTAAAAGATACGTGGACTGATAATCTGGCTTATTCCACCTACCTTCCAAAAGGAAATCGACGGCTGTTATCCTACACACTCTTCCTGCCATCAGATGAATACAGTTTGACGGATGACCAACCGGAGTTTTCACCAATCCAAAGATAGTAAAATGACATATGACCAGAAAGGAGATTATAGAAAGAGCCTACCAATACTGTGTGCAGATAAAATAACGCAGTTTAACCTGAGATTAGTGAAGCAACAAAACTCACGGGAACCAAACCAAGCAGAATTGCAGTTGTTACTCACATCAGACAATTGACGCTCAAATGTATCCAGCAGTGAGCGGAGGTTGTCTCGTTCTTGACGCAACTGCGTGATCTCATTTGGTTCACAACCCAGTTTTCCATCCAGCAGTGAGCGGAGGTTGTCTCGTTCTTGACGCAACTGCGTGATCTCATTTGGTTCACAACGCCAGTTTTCCTAACCGGAAAAAAAACATAAAGCGATCTTATTGCTTAGCACCGGGAAACCAGGTTTGAGTTCGGTAGAAACCGCGCAAAAAATACTCGCGTTTTGTTCATAAGATAATTCAGCGCCTATAAAAAGCCCTCCGCTCCCGGTGAGTAAACTAGTTCTGGATTGATAGCCCCAACTGTCGATAAATAGAATAAAAATTTCCACGAGCTTGCTTCTCTAATTCACGAGCAAAGACTTTTAAAGTTTCATAACACTTTCTAGACTACAGTAGGCTACACAGTACATTTTGCTTCGGCCAGAGTGGATGGATACATGCCGGTAACTAGGAGGTCTAAAGCCAAGTTGACCTGGAAGCTAAAACCTGACTTTAGTGACCGTCTAGTAAGTTTACAGACTTTGGTTATATTCCGTACTAAATAGTTCAACGTTGTGCTGAATTTCATGCCAAGAGTTATCGTCAACATGAAGAAATATGCTGCATTTTATTGGAAGGAAATTACCACACACATGAAGTAATGTCTTCTCCATCAGCATTACTGGCGGAGGGTCCCTCACATTAAGAGTGATTTCAGTTCGACCCTAACTGGTAACTGGTCACCGTTTCCGAAGACCATAATAGCTACGATCAGGGTACGACTACAGTTAGCTACCACTGGCAAAATAAGGACAACCAGATTTGTAAATTCACATACCCGACCTGTCTACCCCAAAGAACCAATGGGGGAGACACCAAAGCATTCACGTATCGGAACAACTTTCTATGAACTCTATAGATAAACCTAGTTTTATAGACGCCCCCCCCATTTACACACACACACACACACACGATCAAACCCGTCTATGAACTCTATAGATAAACCTAGTTTTATAGACGCCCCCCCCATTTACACACACACACACACACACGAATCAAACCCGTTCGTTTTCCAGGTGGGTTTATCACCAAGTACCCATCCACTCCTGATAATGCAGCTCAAGCCTGCTCAAACATTTGTGTGAGATGTGAGCTCATTGATTCTTACGCCTATGATTTATACGGTGAGGTTATCCCAGCAGGTTGTATCAGCAACTGCTTCTAGAATGGCGGAAGAGTAATGCGATGCGTGAGGATCTGATGAACCTGAAAGGGGGTAACCACTGGCCATTGGAAATGAACAGAAATTTTCTTTCCTTTCGTTCTAGGGCGGACTGGACTGAAAACCGAGGGATGCTGTGGCGGAAACGAAGCGATTGGCTGCGAAACAACCATAAATCGATTGTACGCGAAATGCGACCCGCTACATATGTGACTGCCCACGCAAGCAATAATGAAAACAAGATGGAGCACATTGAGCTCATTGGGTGAAAAATGGATGTATCGAACGGTCACGTGAATTCTGTGTAAAAGAACAGCGCCTACCTACTGATGAGTAACTGAATATAAGTGGCTCATTTTTCATGGTATGCCTCGCACCGTGAAAGGTCGTACCAAAGTGTCACATCCGCAAGGAAGAATAAGGAAAGCCTTTTGACTTGTTAGTCGTATCTAGTTTTAACAATGTTTCTAGTAGTTCCAGCCATCTTTGGAATTGAGGTATATATGCGGCAACGTTGTACATTCTCCTGAGTTGTCAGAAATGGTGGAATAAAGTAATGGTGGCATGTAAAAAACAGACACTTTAGAAGACTAGCAAACAAGAAAATAGTGGCCGCTAGGTTTTGAGCACCTCAAGTGACTCACATCGGATCTAGGTCTTGTGGGAGGAAACTTCGAGCTCTTTATGGAGTTCCGAAGCATATGTTTTGTTCGCTCTAACGAATAAAGATAATCATCTCGTTCTTGTTGAGTGAAATGCAATTCCGAACTGAGTGTCTGAAATGTGTGAATAAAGTGCCTTGAATAAGGTACCTTGGAAACCGACCTGAAACTGCATGAGTAACCCAAAAGCAACCGAAACTCACATGGACCATGTGCTTTAGTCTGAGAATATTGACCTAAACCAAGGAGGCAAAAGAAATGGCTCACAAAACCCAAGGGTTCAATACAGTCTGTCAACGGGCCACAAATATATGAAAACTTCGGCCAGGTACTCTTCTAAACCTAGAAGATGAGACATTTCTGTAAATCATATCTAGATAGAAAGGTTTACTGACTTCTGAGAATATCGCTACCGGATAACTGCTACTAATTAACTTCACCCCGTGGCCCACAAGACCACTGGATGTGTTGCTGAATACTGAATGATGGACAGACAAGCAGAAGAATTCAGCATAGGTAGCTCATGCAGCTCTGGAAATGGAAATTAGCCGAAGTAGCTAATTGATTGGGTACTCAGGTCTGGTGCCTTTTACGGAGTGGGAACTAGCAACGGCTAGCTAAACTGGTCATTATCGACCTAACACTGGGATGATGAGCATTGAATCCACCGGAACTCACCAAATTATACTCAAACATATGGAAGACTTAATTAGGTGTTCGATGGCTGCTTGCGGCAGAGAGGGTAGCAAAAGTAAGCGATCCATGTCGAGAAAATCTCAGAAGCTGAAAAATACGGTTAATGCCAACGCACTGTAATGAAATTCAACGTGACAATGATTTCAACCAACTACAGCTGGCTGAGAGGACAGGTTATTTAAATGAAGTACCACTAATAAATAAAAATTTATTAGTGCCCATCGATTAAAAGGATTGATCACCGGTGAGGAGACGTGCCCCTTCTCTTAGTTTCATGTCAGCAAAGCCCTCAAAATAGCTTCGCTGGTATGAAGCATCGAATATTTTACGTCCTTAGAAACTTATTTTAAGCATCTGACAGTTTTGGTTGCAAAACCTAGGGGAACAGGAAGCTGATCGGACGTGAATGCGATTGGTCAAATACCTCATTGGCGTAGCCTCGCCTGCTTGGGAAATCCGCTGAAAAACATCGTCTAGGTTTCGCCGAAGGGCATGAGACGCATGGTGGGGTTAAGGCCCGCCTTCCTTTGAAGGTACGACGAGGAACGGCTCGAGATTTACATCCAGGTTGCATCAGGGTTGATTTTGGTTCCGGCACCGGGGGTGAATGGGTCTGATAAAGCTGGCCGCTCAATGCTGACTCAAGCAGCCGTCGAAACGCATCCATAGCTGCTTGAGAATCTGATCGCCAGCGGCGGCAATCGTCCTCCAATCCCCTGAGCCGCTTTTCAAGTGCTCTATTTAGGGTAACCATATTGGTTCGATGATGATCTTCTGATCTCCCAAAACGTGGATCCATCACGCGGGACGACAATTCTTTTATTAGGTCTCGCTCTGGAAATGAAAATTGTTAAGCAGACAATTGCAAGTCAGCGAACAGAAGCCAAAACGTTCATGAGCCGGATAGAACGTGAAGTAAATGACACGCCGGTTTTACATGTGTGGACAGAGTACCAGCATTCGTGGGCTCGACTGATGTCTGTGATGATGTTTATCGCTTGACTCTGATGAGCCAACTGTAGTATAAGCTGATGGTGCAAGCAGATTTGAAAAGCGATACAGGGTCCCACTGAATACACAACGCCGACCAAGGGTAGCTACCATCTGTCTCTAAAGAACCACAGCGGATAGGACAACGCCTGGGTCTAAATAGGTTCAACCGCTAAGTTATGGATGACAGAACTCTTGTCCAGGAGACCATGTACTAACTCATGGGCTACCTCCAGCTATCCATCGTGAAATTGCCAGCGGACCAGTGTTTAGAACTGGCAGGACTATGTAATGAAAAATGCATGGACTACTTCCAGCATCAAAGAGGACCACGTGCGTTTACCTCACTAAAGCACATTAACTGTGAAAATCCAGCGCCATTGATTGTTTACTCCTTTACTGATGAGATCAAGTTGGGATGAGAATTGGATCTGCAGCTTATTGATGTTAGGATGTCCGTGTGTTGTTCAAATCTGCAGCAACAGGAAGCCGAAAGACTCTCAATGTAACGATAAGCTTTCCAATTGGGTTCAGTGATACGGTACGCGACCAAATGAACTGAAAAATCTACAGGATATCAGAGGACTGATGGATGAAAATCTTATGGATGATAGAAGGTATTTTAGTAAGAGAGGCTATAGTGCCTGTTTTCTCACAGAATAGCCGAAAAAATCGTTTCACGACGTGGGGAGTGCACTAGCTAATCACATACTGACGTCGTCCAAATCACGCACCACTTACAAGTATACCTAAAAGCCCATAAACCCTGTCCTAGCCACGCAACCGATTTTATGCAGTCCAGATTGTAACTGCGTTTATTTTGCTGGTTACCTCTCTCTACCAACAAGATTTCCATGGGGAGAGGTGTAATTAACCTAAATCAACGTACAACGCCGTTCCCGTTAAGTGATAAATCTCCAAATAAGCGAATCCGATCATTGGAACAGAAGTAGCGCAACAAAACATCACCTCGTATCTCAAGTCTGTCTAAGCGTTGCAGAAGATAGGAACGACCGCTCTGGATTTTGTTCAGTAGGTCCTCGATGCCTTTGAACGATTCCTGTTGAAAAGAGATCAGCAGGTCAAGTGAAAAAGCGTCATCATGGGAATGTAAAACCATCAAATGACCTCAGATAGCTTTTTGCCACTGAGCTGAAGTGGGCCGAAGTAAAGCTTAAAAATCAATTCCTTGGTACGAACTGGTCGACAGTGTAAGAATAAAAAACGATTATCTTGTCGCAACACAGTTGCTACGCCCCTATTTGAAACAGATTCTGTTTAACCAGAGTGAACAAGTGGATAAGACCACGAAATTTGTATGAGACAAAGCAAGCTCTATCTGGAGTCGGGTGTTCCAAACACGGCTTTTGGTTTTCTTTTGGACAAAATGTACAATCATGACCTCAACGATAATTTTGATGGCTTTATATATATCCCCCAAGCGAGCCGATTATATCTCACGAGGTCAGATTCTCAGTGTGCGCTGTTAGGATACCCGGAAACTCCTTTATATGTAGAAAACACCAAGTTGCAAAGTCTGGCACTGGCCAAGAAAGAGTGCAACAAAGATTTAATCCGTGAACTCAGTTGGGCTGTCCGCCGCCAGATTCTTTAGTGAATATCTTTGGAACATATTAGCTCCTGCAGCGCCTTGTAACTACCGGAACTCGCGCACCAGAGTGCAAGGATATTCAACCAAATGCTTCCGTTATACGATACAACTAGGTACGGCACAATACCAAGGTAATTGACAAGTATTGCCTTTCCGGTAGTGGTATGGATACCGTAGAATGGTTAGTGTTCAGACAAATAACTTGGCAGTCGGGAGTTTTACAAACAAATAATTTCTGTCCCCCGACAATCGATATCTCAGGATAATAGTTCAGCTAACCGAAGTTGTGGGTGAGACCGTTTCACCCTGATGTACGAGTACGGTTTCAGACGACATTAGATGCAAGTGAAGACGGCAGCATAATGTAATGCTCACCAACACTAAGGCCAACATAAGAGATTCCTACTTTAGCCACAGTGAGGAACCATTATTATTTAAAAAGATATGGATGCTTGGCTGTGAATGCAAACAGCAGGATGAACAACACCAAAGAAACCTACTCAGACTGAAGATGACGCGTAAATCGATCGTAAACCCCATTACTTTACGAAAATCATAGCTAAGATCGACAGGCTATTTTATGAACTCTTACCAGAGGAAATTTATCACGTCCAAGTCTGACTATTACAACATAGCTTATTCACTCTGTCGTCGGGTCTGTCACGTTTTCTCGACTAGTTTAGTTTCTCTGAAACATTTTCAGCAAACTAACGGTAACTTGCATGCGGTCCTTAGAGTCAAGATACTAAGTGTTTAATCCTGACTGAGTCTCATAAGTCACGTGTAGCAGAGTCGGTCGAGTCCCGCTCTGGTTGACACGTTTTCACCATAAGAAGCAAAACCACGCAGCCACGGACCGCATTTGTGCTTATGGGGTTCTACGCCAGGATCGCGTGGATAATTAAAGAGCAACTACTTAAATACGCCCAAGTAGCCAAATTTCCTAACGAATTAGCGGCACCGGTCGAGTCAAGGGAGTCGCCCACGTCAGCTGCGAATGGGTGTCAGCAACCAACCTAAATACGAGTTCGCACTATTTGACGTTCAAACGCATGTACCACTCTCAATAAATTTTGACACCAGTTTACGCTGGCACTTGTAGTACGCAACCGACAGGTGATTGCGCCTACATTCAATCTATGTTTAGATCTCCGGCCGCCGATCAGAAAAGATTCCTGTGGACTCAGACTTCAATTCAAATGTAGGATATCCGAAATAATTCCACTCAACCCGGATGGGTGACCAGTTTTTGAAACAAATTTTGAACAAAACCTCAGTGACAGTATATCGCGAATTCGTGAACGCTGAACCTCAGGAATGTGCAGGCCGAACCAAGACACTTCTCAGGTACTTGAGTGGGTTAATTCGTCCGACATTTAACAACACCGGTGCTGAAGTATACACACGGTTGTACCGTGTCCTGTTACTTTGACCCCGAGGATTACTGAGTGCGGTTTCATTCAAATTAAAGATCCTTTTGAGATTTTTACCAGGAATCAAAGACAAGCGGGGTCACTTAGGCAAATCCGAGGACACAATAACTACTAGAATTTTGCCGGTGGGAACATTTCAAAAGCGGAGAAAAACTGCAGCCATTCGTATCTCAAGACAACTTGAATCCTGTAAACCCTTTGGGTAGTACAGAATAAACAACGCAATCCATTCGAGCAACACGTTATACTAGCAAGAGAAGAAAAATCCGGTCATCTGCAAGACGTTTTCCCGTTCTTCCTTGGTTCCGCATCAGTAGCGGCACTTTTTAGAGAGCCTGTCATACGGGATTTAGATGATTGTGCTTCACGAGCACCACGATTGAGTCTGCAGCACCCTATGATAGCCACAAATGGTGTGCACAACTAACCAACAATAACTAAGTCTTTTTATTTTCATAAAAGTTTCAGCTTACACCACCGTTTGAGGCAGACGGACTAGACTGATTGGTGCACTTTCGTCTCTTGCTCTTACGAAAATCTCCTAGAGGCGGAATTCTGAAATGCGGTCTTTTATAAGATCTACGAATCGAACTTATCAGCGCATGCTGACAAGACCATGTGTGTTGGTGGGAGGGAGCTTTGAATTTAGCGGCCAAGAATCCAATCCCTGTTAGTCGTGGTCCACGAAGTAGTCACAAACTGCAAAAAAGAAAACTGCCACTGTAATAAGAAAAGTCATAGGCCTTTTGCTAGTGTTTCCATTACCTCAAAAACGATTAAGTTCGCCTATTTCAGAGCTACCTGCTTTGCAGAGGGTTAAACAACTCGTTTCTCACGAATTACCTGTACAAACTTAGAGTAGAACGCTAGAAAATCGTTACATGCATGGTAAATATACAAAATGGGTGATATTCAACAGAAAGCTGTGCAATAATACTGCTTCCTGGTACCTATCCTGAAGACAATTGCGCCTGAGGACCACACAGATTGGTATTCGTTGGGAAAGGAAGTATCCGCGCCCAGCCAGATCTCCCCGAAGTGATTGAAGTGGTTTTAGTGAGGTGAGGTTTTTGCACATCTTTTTTAACGACTCTTTTTGTAAATACCATCAAATACTGACTGAATCAAGAGAGGACCACGTCCAGCACATTCGGTTGAAGAACAGCATAAACGAGATACTCAGATCGACTCAGATGAGGGTTCTGTTGAAACCCAACTTGTTACGCGGATGAGAGTATTTAGCAAATCTCTTTACGCCCTTTATTTGGATACAAGAATCCACATTTAAGTTGAGGGATGAAATCAATTAAAATCCGGAAGATCATTAGCTTTCCCGACGGAAAAATGTTGAATACTGTATATGAAGCCATAACTTTGTGAATCTGCCGAATCGGACTTTCGAAGTTACGTCAACACAAGGTACCACACACGCATTTTTCACACTGTAAGATATAGGTGAACATACATTCTGGCTGTCAGTCTTTCGACCGGAACCCGTCAAGCCATGTGACTGACACATTTCGTGGCAGCTCCGACATTGTAGTGATACCTTCCGGTTGAGTCGAGTGCTTCTGTGTTGAAGACATCCTCTGTATGACACCAAGCACTCTACAGACTACCTGATAGCCCCAGCTCTGTAACTGCTGGTTACGGCAAAACGAAGAACAAGCTGTCTAGTATGCAGTAAAGAAAAATATCAACCTTGGATGACTCATAGACACACTTGTGAAAACTCAGGATCGGCTTCCAATTGCAAATTGACAGGCAGTACGGAAATGTGACAAGGTTGTTCATCGCATACCAGAAAAAGCTGATAAACTGAACGAATCGCGGGACAAGATCAAGGGGGGATTAGGTAGCATATATTGTTGTCTTCCACGTACCTTTAGACATGGAGTACATGTGCAGCTCACCGATACGGTTTGACATGAAGAATTAGTTTGAACTTTAAAGGAGTCTGTCGAGGTCTGCGTCCCTACTTCTACGTGTGACCGTATTCGGTCACCGGATAGCAAGGGGGAAGAAATGGATGATATATGGGTATGATTCACTAGACGAGCTTCCAGTTGTTCATTACGGGACTGTAATGAAGCAACCTGAATTTGTAATTGTTGAAGTGACCGATCTGTTGGAAGCACGGTGGTGTCTTTTGAAGGAGATTTCAAAGGACAGCCAACCTCAGATAGTGAATGCAGTCGTTCCAGTTCGGAATCACGCAGTTCGATCTGACAAGAATAAAACAAAATGAAGGTGAAGTTTATAAGTGGGAAAGCGGGAAGAATGTCGAGAGCAGGGTACTGTGACTCGAAGTCGATGGAAACACACCTTATCCAGATATACACATTCAGATTACCAGGGTCATAATCCGATAGTAAAATTAACTTCCAGGTCAGCACTTGATGAACCTGCCCAACCAGAATGGAAATATGATGGATACATTGAGCGACGACCACTTGAAATACCCTAAAACTGCAGCATACCACCAGGATTCAAAGCCACAAACGGTGAGCTGACTCAATAAACACCTATGTAAATAAACTGCAGTGTACCCTACTTGGACGGCAAGCAGTAAGGGATATGAAGTTGAATCAGGCTGGCCAGTATCACGTGCATTCCGGTACTGGAAAGAGTTTCACACGGCTTAGTCGTGTCCGCCTCTATTGTAAAGTAAACGTTCCGCGCGTTCCACTATAGATGGTAAAATACTTTCATTTGACATAAACTTGATTAACATTTTTATTTACCACCAGGTGAAGTTGTTCAAAACAGTGAGTGTTCTGTTGTTTCCCAAGATATCATCCATTCTGAAGTATGACCCAACAAATCTCCATACTATAAATCAGATGGTGCTCAGTCTTTTTGAAAATATTCGAGTCGAATTTGGCCCGGAACTCCTATGATCTAACAAACATACCTGGCTACGTGTTTCAAATGGAAAATTTGTCGAAAGATTTGAGAACATTCACCGGTTAATACCCGGTCTACCATGAGGATTCGACTTGAATTGGTTAGTATCGAGTATCCGACTAAAGCTTATGCAACTTGTCTGATTACTTAGTCGTCTTAGGAGCCCGAATTGTTGGCATTTAAGTAAAAAAAAATGCATTTTAGAGAACAATAAAACGATGAAAATAATAAACAATCAGTTATAACACCGATTCGGTACCTAGCTGCCATGCCAACAAAAGGAAGCATGAGGGGTGAGATATTGTCGGGTTGCCCAAGCAGTTCTGATACCGGGGCTGGGTTCTAAACACGGACATCTCGGTGAGTAAGTCGTCGCCTTGACGACCGAGCTATCTGGAGCTCGGAAAGGGTAGCGATTTCTCCAGTGCTTCGAGTGGTAACCACTGCGAGTTTCTGATTCCCATGAATCCGAGTACGATTACACTATGTCCTCAATTGAAGGGCAGATTTCTGAGTATGCAGAAGGCACGTGAACATTAACTGACCAAGGGCAGGAGTCGCGAGAAAAACAAACGACAGCACCCTCGAAATCCAGGTTCAGCGAACTTGAGCTTATGAAATTAGAACCATAGAAGAGACAGAGTGCCAGAGACACAGCGCCAATGTATGATTTGGAACGTTCGAAAAGTGTAACAGCATCAATGCAGCCATCGAATCAAACTTTGTCAGACAAACATGCTGGGATATTAAAGGTTACAACAAACAACGAGCAAGCGACTGCTATGTACGTCAGAATAAGAGTATGACCCCAGAAGTGACCAATACCAAGCTCGGTCGACATCCTGCTAGTGTTAACGACAAACAGGTAAACCTCGTCTAGGTTTGGGCAACCCAGTATTATCTGAGTGTGAGTGTTCTCTCAAGGTTTTGCGGCACGTTTGTGAAGAAAAGGTACAACCGGCTGAACAACCAATAAACGAAGAGGTGAAAGGAGTTCCAAAACAAACCACATACCTGGCGCTGAAGATTCTCAACATTATTTTCGCTGAGTTCTAGTTCTTTTTCTAGTCGAGCTAGGTGATTTTCAAGATCTTCACATCGTTTAGAAGCCAAATCCAGCAGGTCCAGTGTCTGTCAAGTGATTGTGTATGATGAAATGAACACTATAAGCTATTTCAGTCCATAATAAAGTTCCAGAAGCGGTTTCACGTAAGTTTAGGGTGGGAAATGTGAGAAACGATAAATCGCTTGTCCATGACAATGTGTGCACAAGACCATAAACCGGTTAGTTGTAAGAGGCACACAGTGCACCACATTTGGAACAAGACCGAAAGCACTCAATGGCAAAACAGAATCAATAAAGTAATGTCAGGTGTGTGGACCTATATACTCAGTTGCAAATTGAGACGATGTTAATGACAGTCTTAGCTGAGACCCACTTCAAGTAGTGCCCTTTTGTAGGCAGTGTGAAATTCATTTTGCAAACAACCTGAGTGGAATACAGGTATGATGGTGCCGCTTGAACACCTTCCAAAATTAGCCAATAAGTGCGACGGAACTTGCGGAATCTGATTCTACGTGACACACTGAAGTGTTTAGTAAACTAGAATTTCCAACTGAAAAATTGCCACGGCTCATTACGGCGGATTTCAAGGTGTATGTGCATCTAAGATACACCAAAAAATCGAAACCATTAACTTTAGGTTCTTCATGGACAGGCGGAAAGATTTTCTGGATCTGTTTTATATCGGAGTCACAGCTGGAGGTAAATTACAGAGAACAATACCGAATGAGTAAGGCACGTGCCTAAAGAAAGGTATTGCCATAATAGAAAAAGTTATGATTTCCATACATTCCAGCTCAACGAACTCGCGGATGTCATCATAATACCATTTATATCAAGTGATAATGAACAAAGAAGCAAGATGTTGAAAGGGTACTCGGGATGGAACACAAGATTGTACAGCGAACGTTTGTTAACTAATGTTGCGGTCACCTCGAGGAGCCATTTTTTGGAACAAAATAACACATCTGTCTAACTGCAAAGAAATACAAAACATCCAGATATACTTCGATGGAAGACCTCGCTAGAAATTAAGTTTATGGTATCCACACAGTAATTAGTTCGGCTCTTTAAACTCGATCTATACCTGCAGTTGATTTCCTAGTGAGAAAACAATCCACACAAATGCTGGTGGTTACCGCTTTATTTAACATTTGGCCGGCCAGTTCCAAGTTAATCACGTCCAGCTGCCGGGCCAGTTGTGAGAAAACAATTAAAACTAAAGGTCAGGGTGTTTATGATTGCGATCCGCTTCGGATTTTTCGATGCTTCGGATAATAGCATATTTCAAGATTCGATTATAAGGTAGGATGTCTTTGACCCTGAGATAATGCACACAATATATCTAGCGAACCATTAGTGGTCGAATCGTTTATCGGGCTTCAAAATTTTCGTTTCATGAATAGGGTTGGCATCATCATTGAATTGTTGTGAAGCGGAGCAGATGGAAGCGTTGGTGGCCGTGAGGTGAGTACTTCTGGAATGGGGATCACGATCAGCTGTAATAGCCGCGTACTCGTCGTACAGTGGTTGTAGCCGCCGCAGTTTCGTTCACCGATGATTGGGGGGTAGGTAGCTGCGCATTGCAGGCAGGAGATGATAAATTGGTGCATAAATCCAGCACTGTCAGTGGGCTGTCAAGTGAGGATTGGGAAGGGAGCTATGCATTGAAGGCAATAGCTTGGATGCACGAGCACCATTGAGGGCGTGACTGGGCCATGTCAGACAATGTTTCTAACCATTGATGTGGACCGTCTCGGGATCCCCATCCAGGGAGACGGCAATGACCTATTATGATATACTGGTTCCGCCAGCCATCATACCGGTTGCATTCTTTGATCGGGCACTAATTGGACCGCGTCCAGGCGATCTTTGAACTAAGAGAGTTCGAAGTTCTATGTCCGAAAACCCACCTTCCGTGTTTAGTACCCCATGTATCAGTCTTCATGAGTTCCAAACTGAAACAGTGAGTTTCATGTGTAGAAATCAAAGAAAGTGAATCCCATTTTCGTACAACCGTCTTATGTTCATTGATCCGTGTGGATTTGCCCAAGATAATGTAGTTGTATTCATTGTACACGGCCCGGTCTCGGAAAAACGATTGACAGGTCAGGAAAAGCTGCAGGATGAAGCCAAGAAGGTCAAAGGGTACGAACCGAGGTGACAGGTTCAAAAGACCACGAAAAATCACATGAGCGCAAAATATTACCAATGAGATTGTCTGCAGAAGCAAACTGCTATAGTTGAACATCAGGCCTGTTCAGAAGCTCGTATATAAACTCGCGCATACCATTAATAAATGCACAGCCTTCAGCGCACGTCCCCGCTCCGCTTTAAAGCAAAGCACTAACGACGCCACCTTGAGTGATGAAACTTTTGCAACAAAATTGCCAACCTCAGCGAGCGATTCGATCACAAGCCGAATAACTTCTAAAGTGAACAATTTGCGCCAGGACAGGAGGACCATTATTGAAATGAGTCATGTGAGTGTGCATTCTACCAAATCCTGCAACCACCAACACCTGAAAAAAAGTGTCCAGCACGTCTCAAGCGTCTGTGGCGCTTCCTGACTGGGATGTCCTGACTGGCGGGCCAATCGATCGACACAACCAACCTATGTTACTGGGTTGTCGTTCGAGGCTTTTCGTTGACATCACTCAAGTGCAAACATGTTCACTTGTTCAGACGCAACAATTCAGATGAGTCCAGCATGCGCCGATAGAGTAGTGGTAACACGCTCGCCTCGCGTATTAGACGTGCGGAGTTCAAACACCGGTAAAAACACTGGATACGCACTGCTGATGAGCTCTAATAAGAGCGAAACTCGGGTCCAGTGTTTACCCTCCCCTTGGTGTGGATTCACAGAGAATGATTGCGCCAGAACATGAGGACCGTTGTTCATACAAGAGTCATGTGAGCATGCATTTTACTGGGGGGAAAAAGGAAACGAAGTAGTTCCTACATGAACCGCTGTGACCACCCGTTGTCCTACGGTTCGGCTTTAAGATGGCCCAACGCAACTGTTCAATACGTCTCTGTCTGAGATTGCAGAGAGCTTTCTGCAAAAACTATCTCCAAGCTCCTAAATCGTTCGCTTGCAATTCAGATAAGAGAAGCCGGTCGATACTTGTCCAAGAACTGAGAGACTATCGAACTGAAATCACTAAACGTGAAAAAGGTCTCACCTCAGGTTCATAGGAAAAATGCATTCTATCCCAGTACCGTGCAACGGAACAACAGTAATTCGGATCCGTTTTGCATCGTTCAGGTTGCGGGATGAGTGAATCAATCTCCATTCGTTGTTGACGGAAAGGGAGTTTCTTGTTGCCTGCTGAAAATAAAGCAAGTTTGGGGCATACATTATACCCATCAAAAGCCTAAGGTGGATTTTTGTGCCTATAGAGTCCAGTAGTAAGGGGTGACCACCTAGGTGTCCCAGACAGGGCAAAAAATTTATCCTTGAATAAAGTGCAGTCGATAGATATTCATCAAAGACCTGCTTGACTCAGCAGCACAAGTCGATTTCGATGAAACAGAAAGCAACGCGGCTTTCAAAGAAGTTCGAGGGCCTTCAGTAATCAGTGACGTAAAACTGTTATCTGATGGATGCATGTCAGCAGCATTCTAAGCCGAGTTCTAAATAAAACATGAACTCAGAATAAAAGCGGGAATCAGCTTCATCAGGAAAGCAAAACATGCTCCACAAGCAACCAAGAAAAGAACGAAGCTCTCCGAATCCGAAATCATGTCACACACGTACACACCGAGTAATCAGCCACAATCGGTATGTGGACGAAGCTACTCGACAGACTCAGTACCAATAGGTACACCGTCTGATCTGTTCAGATAAAAATAGGATATACACAAGTGACGTCCTTTAGGTACGTTCATTGTGTGCACCATTCAATCCGGTAAAGGACGGAGGTTAGATTATGTTGTCCAACGGTTTTCTCGACCAAATGTGCTTCCACCAACGGCTGTATGAACCCCAATGTGTTGTCAAGGTTCACTACAATGGCACAGTGGCATTTTATTGAGGCTTTCCGGAGATATCCAGTTACTTCTGCATATCAATAATATTTGTGCTTCAGTGAACCGATATCATGTTTGAGATTCATAATAAGCACGCAACTGTAAAACTAACAGAATTGACTTTCAAAGAAGTAACGTTCCGCTGAAAAAATACCTTATGTGCATGCGTCTGACCGCTTGAATGTTTTCAAGATCTGTTTCTCCAGTACGCATCCACTAGCAAAATTCCAAAACCCGACTCCTCTTTATTTGTGTAACATTGGTGTCAGTATCATCCAATGAAGGGCTTTGTCCACCTTGCCGGAATGACACAAGCAACTTTGGCTTGCCTGACAGTTGAGACTGTGAAAATCTGGATTGTATTGGACTAAAGGATACTAGATTTCCACAGATTTCCTGTATCGTAACATCGCGTCCTTTGGATTAGGTTGTGCCAAACGAAGTGAAACGAACCACGAGGGGTCATCAGTGAATTAAAAACACTATCCCAAAACACGTCATCACCATCGTCGTCAAAAGCAACACTGAAGGAGAACACACATGTATACCAACGGTGCGTCCTTAAGTCAAGTTCTGAGAAGACACTTCCTAACCCTTTTCTGTGCTCGCACTCACCATAAGAAAGAGCAGCCATCATTCCTTCATCACAGTTACTTTGTCCATTCAGTTTCATTTTGGTATCAACTAGCAGAAGTTCTGGACCGCACAGCATCGAAATGCCTAGTTCATATTTTTTCCAACAGTGTATGTTGGAAACTACGAGTTTATTTGTTATGATTACTTATTGTCCATTATGTTCTTGTGAAAAGTAGTACTCGCATCCCTGATTAGTATGAAGATGATACGCATTCATAATTTTTGCAGATGCAGTTATGAGACCCCTGTTCCCTATTTTCTACTTTGTAATAGATAGTACTAAAATCGGTTATACCTGATCGGCTTGGACCATAGACAGCTTCAAATGAAACGCCATACATAAACACACATGAATAGATTCTTTCGAGTCCCTAACTGACCATGAAATCGACTAAGTTCTCTCTGGTGCTGCATTTAAAAGCAGGATCTTCTACATCCACTGTAGAATAGATTTTCAATCCGCCTTTGATTGGGTCAAGGTTAATTAAGCAGAATGTGTACAACCGGTGATATCACAGTGATTCGATAGCTGGTCAGTGGATAAGCGCTCACGGCTGTGTGCGCAAGCCTGTTGTTCAAGAGTGAACCATAGTTGTTAATGCATGCCCATCGTTCTTCCGTATTGTGGTGCTGCTGTGTTCTAGACAGGACGGATGAAAATACGGATAACAGCAGGGGACTAGGGTATTACCTAATTTTGGTCAGGTGCCTGATGAGCTGTTCGCCAAGCTTGATAGTTCGCTTACAATCGTTTCTTCACCAATCGACGGAAGATCTTCAAAACTCCGACTAAGATATTCTTGCAGTCTGCGACAAGGAACCAGCATAAAGCACATGCTGGTGACCTGTGCCATCACGAAATTACTAAGCAGCCTATGTACGGTACCTTGAGGGACTTCCTACTGAAACTAAATGCTCTAGTATTCCCGTAATGAAACATCCATGAATATAGTGTCGGAATTAGCGTAGGCCATCAAGACGGGCCAAATCTAATCCCTTTCGCCACGGAATACACTTGTGCCCGGGCGTTCTATCCAAAGTTCACATTAAATCGGACGCAGAAGCTCAACATTATTAGTCCATCAAATTTTTATATGTTACAGTGAGAAATTGTTGCATTGTTCTCACCGAATTTTTCAACTGCGGTATTTACATTAGCCACGCTAATCCAGTCAACCTGTTCAAAACAGCTGACACCAGCTTCCATCCATTCCACCAATTATCCCACATGGAAATGCAAAACCGAACATTTCAAGTGCAAAACATCTGACCCAGTCGTTTTTTTCAGAACTCCCCAATCAGAATCGTCGTCGCAAGTTCTCCATTGAACTTCTAGTTCACAAAACACAGATGTGTGGAGACTATCATCTTAACAAAACTAAGCGAGGAAGTAAAACGCAACGTAATGCTTTGCGCAGGCTGAGGATATTATTTTGAATCATATGTAGCAGAAACTGAAAGTCGTCAAGATTAAAACACCTTACCTGGAGTGCAGACTACAGCTTTGGCATCTTTTTCTTGAAGCAGGAGTATCTGTTCCGTCATGCGTTTGGCATCCATTTCAAGGTTTCGAACTTTCTCTAAGCATTGGGTGCTGTACATTTTCGAATCCTCTCTCTGAGATTTAACACACTGGAATTCGAGCTTTAAATCTAGAACGACTACGTAGTTGACAAGGTAAAAATTTACCATGAATTTCCTTGTCTTGAGCTTGTTCTAACTGAAGCAATTTTTTGTGCAACTCGTTGTTCTGTCGGATTAGCCGTCCATTTTCGGCTTTGTAAGACGCAATGTACTCATCGAAATCCGAACGTAACTCTAGCTGGGATTCCAGCTCGGCGCTAGTCTGTTGAAAGCTATGTGTAACACGAAGCAGATCACAAAGCAATCGATCAACCAGTGCCAAGGAATCAACACTAAGCGGTTGGCTGTATCCAAGCTGATCAAGTCTGCTACGCAGCTGCGCGTACTTGTCTTGCGCAGTTTGGGTCTTCATTTATAGCAACTGAAGTATAACAAGAAGAAAGTGTGGCAGAAACCAATGGATGATACATGGTGAAATCAACCACATCGCCCCAAAACTGAACAATCCACCTGTTCAAATGTGATAATTCATGTGTACCTGGTGTTTGCTGCTGCAGTAGTGTTAACATGTTAGCCTCGGGAATCCAATGACTGGAAATCAACATCTGCAGGGCCAAGAATATGCCTTGATGATTAGAGCCGATACGAGGACAATTGGAGTCCACTGCTTCCCTCATTTGGTGGACTAACCGGAATACTCTCGCCAGAAAGGAACAGGTGTGATGAAACGAAAGTGATGTGACTGCGAATTCTGCAATCCCACAGCCACCTACAAACCATCAGAGAATAAAAGGCGCCAGTTTTTCACTCCGGATCATGGCTCTCAGAGATCCATTAACAACAGAGTAAGCTGATGCATTAGATTGAATATTTTTTCTGTTTAAAGTTCTCGAAACACTCACTAGAAGTTTTAACCGACTTCAATCGCCATCTGGCTTCTCAAAAATCAGTGTAATAATCTATGAGTGGAGATGTTCTACAAACCTTGTCCCATCAAAGACGCCTGAACTTTTCTCCTTTTCATACCATTTGACCATGAAAATAAAAGCAAATTCATTTTGCATTTTCTAAGGCAGCAGTTAAGGTGCGAACTTATTGACGGGAACATCCGTAGTACAGACCCAACCTCGGCATCTCACTTGCTCCTATCTAGGTCTGGGCGATTTGACAGTAACCGAGCAATGCGGTCCCTTCAAATGGCACGGCGGCTAGGTTCAAAAAGAATGTTACGGCTGAACGATTATTATTTATTGTTATTAACTGCCTGCTTTCCCGAGCCTAGACGGCAAAAGTCGAGATTCCGAGGTTGGATTCGAACCACGGATCCCTGATAAGTAACTTCGCTCTTTAATCACTGAGCTACCCTGAGCCTGAGCTACCACTCCTGTGAATTAGTGTCGAACTTCAGCATTCGAGACGTTGAGGTTTGAAAGCAGGTCGGCGCCGTCAAGTCTGAGTCTACTTACAAGAAAGTGCATTTTCTGACAGCCCCTGGGCGGACGCCTCTGGACACTAACTGGGTGGGTAGAGTCCGATCGTACTCAGCTATCCCCGAGTACCACACACTGCCGTAGAAGCATAAGAGAGGCCCCATGAAACTATTGTGCGGTTTTCCCATCGCCTTAATGCGTCAAGTCCCTCAGGACATAGCATAGTTTCGATTGAGCTTTCCAGTAGTTTATATCAAAGACCCATAACGTACATCCTATTGGACTGCTTCGCCAAGCCCACTGCAACCAGGACGGGCACCGAAATGTTTCTTTCGTTCTTTTTCTTCCTGTTTCTTCCCAAGGTTTCGTGAGGTTGGCAGGGTAAAAGCTGGCTGGCTAAATGTGTTACTATCTTCCAGAAGAAGGTGCGATTGTTTCCAAGAGAACGATTGGTGCTTGACTACAATAGGCAAGCTGGGTTGATGGCTAGTTGTTCCGTTGATTACGCAGTATTCACAGTATTCCATGATGTTTGCTCCTCACACCCAGTGTAAAAATCCATATTTTTATTTCATGCAAAATAAGAAAGCCCGTTCACTTAATCTGCAGCCAACTTTTATCTAGGAACCACAAGCCTCTCGAGACCATGTTAAAAGTCGGGAGGGTGTGGGACGCCTATCAGGTTAGTTCAAACCGAATAACAAAAATTAAAGTATTTAGGCCATGCAATGTTAGTTATCGGTTACCTACGGAATTTAGTGTTTTCGCACATGTCTGGATGTTTCGCCCCAAGTTTTGACAGGCACACATTATTCTTTTCCTTAGCTCAGTGATAGTAGCGAACATCCTTTTTAAAATGTAGTTAAGCTTCGTCGACATACCACACATGTGTCCAACAGTTTTACGCCTAACGTATAAAGGTAGGATATTAACGGTTGAAACTTCAAGCAAGAAACCCGAATCGAAGAATTCTGTTTGGGCATTATTTGTCCTACTGGATATTCAGGGAATGCAAAAAGTGGATCATCAGGTGACCTGAAGAATATGCCCTTACGCAAGCATCCGGATTAAGGAAACGATTTTCTATTAGAGGAAAGAAGTGATAACTTCAAACGCCCTTCGCGGTCACTCTGGCTGCTGGAAACTACCCCCTATCTGCACATACAATGCCCATCCAGAACCGTAAGCAAGGTAACTGGGCCATTCGTTATACTTGTCGGGATACCATCCACCGGGATGAGCGTTATTTTTTCGTGTTTACTTCGGAGTGAAAGAAACCTAAAGGTGTGCAGAATTTGACGCGGCAGAAGGAAACGAAGGATTTTACAAAACGTTTGGGTACCGATGGTGTTTCTGGCCTTCCAGAATGGGGTCCACATGACCTCCCTGTGCTTCGTTGAAGACACTGAACGATATAGTGGCTAGGCGGTGCCAGTGTTATTTATGCTGTAGGTTTCTATAAAGGTTGTATCACTGATTGTTGGAGGTGTATGCACCTCAGATGTTTGTGCGTCAGTGAAGCATAGTGTTTCCGTCAATAATGATGACGATGGTATGCCGTTCCAACGGAGAACCATGATTTCTGAACCTGTCACCACTGGGGATCACTTTTTCTATAGTGATTCTATAACATATGAACACGGTTCCAACTGGCTTCATTTCTTCGTCACGAAGACACTGGACCTTACCGTAGTGTGACGGTTTGCGCACCTCAGCGATCCATTGAGCTATACTGGAGAGTGTCTCGCGACACTCACAGTCTCTCATACCAGGTTGGTCAATGGTTAGAGGTCTGACGAACACGGTCTCCTGGCCCTCCAGGTTAGGGGTTGGAACATGTGGCGATTTGTTCCGTAGAAATGGTAATGCATTGCATTTCCCGCCAAACACCGCTGCCTTGCGGTTAGGCTTTTGAGCCAAAGGCTTTGGTTGAGGACCCTAATCGTCCTCCTGTCTAGGTGTGGGCGCCCTGGCAGTATCCCAGCCCACGTACAACCATGAATAGCACATACACAAATAAACTCATGCCACATCGGCCG